GGTATGCCCAGACAGTATACCATCCCTTGGGAAGAATGCCAAAGAGGAATCTTTGGAGTGGCCTGCCCTGAGGTAAATGAGATGATTAGCAGGGCAGAGTGTTGTAGATTGCTGAAGACATGCCATAAAAAATAGTTGCCAAACATTGTTCTGAGATGAGGAGGGAGGACAAGATGGAGGAAGCCAGGGTGGACGAGGCTGTGTCGATGTGGCAGATAGGCAGTGGTGTGGGGGTCTTAGTGTGTCCAGTGGTCCTGGAAAGATCTGATAGCAGAACTGAGGTGGAAATAGCAGCACGAGTTTGACAGACTGTGTGTGGTCACTATGTCAGAGGTGGTTCTGAGCATTATCTTGAAGAGTGTGCTCACTACTGTCGAGGTAACTGGATGTGCGGTCCAGCATGAAATATTTTGGTTGACCGCAGAGTGGGGCAAATGAACTCACAAGAGCAAGGAGGAGCCGTTATCCCCTGCTGCAAAACTGTGCACTTTCTGATGAGCCATGCTGGAGTGCTCTTGGGCAGAGCAGGAGTGGGAGAGAGCAGAAGTGATCTGATTATCCCATGGAGACCAGGCAGGCCAACCTTTCCCAGAACCATGTGGACGGTTCCAACTGTAACGTTGGCATGTGCTTTTTTCATGTGTCCCCAGTGTTGAAATCATTGTGTGGCATGGCCGGAGTGCAGAGAGAGTTGCACCTCATCTTTAGCCTAGGCTGGAGGAAAGTGCCTGGGCCACCAGTGAAGTTTCATGGCTCTGTGGACACGAACGGGAAAGCACGGAGTTGAAGGTAAGCCTCCCAATCAGGGAACCGTATGTTCAGGGAACGCGGGTCTTGGTGGTGCTGCTAGGACTAAGCGTTTGTGAATCCGGGCGTGTCTGCACCAGTACTAGCTTGAGGGTCTCAAGGTGCTGCCCTTTTGTGTACAGGGTCCCATTGAAACGAGTTTCTTCTGCCACCTTGGGGAATTTCTTGGTATTTCTTGCAGCCCACCAACACCCGCAGTGTCCTTGAGTGTCAGTGCTGAATATCTCTGTGCAAGTGCACCACAGCATGCGTGGATCGATGATGATTCCCAGTCAAACATTCCTTGGAAAAGCTGAACAAAATGAGTGAAAACTCAATACCGCCGCTCTCATCGGGACTGAGGTCCAGCAACTTGGGTCAGCCAAGTCCTCCAGGAGTCAGACACAGGCTCAGGAACCACTCCATTGCTCCTGCCCGACTCCAGCAGTAGCCAGACTCCATAACCATGGCCTGGTTCTTTCCCCACTCTGCCAGCAATCTTGGCCATGGTAAAGACGGCACTAATCCTGCTCTCCTGGAACCATCCCTTGGTGTGGTTGACTAGAAATCTTGAGAGGCATTGGGTAGGGATGGCGTCTACTAGCAGTGGCCTTCAGCTGGGCTGCAGAGTTAGCAATTGGAGAGGAAGATCAGAAGCCCCTCTGATTTGCACTGCTCATAGTGGAAAACAGGTCCTGGGATGGGGCCACTTCAAGTCTTCGCAAGAAGAACAAATGCAGGGTTGCTGCTGAGTGGGACTGTGAATTGCATCCTGCAGGTTATTGTGCCCTGGGACGTGACTTCTTGTGGCAGGATAGTTGTGGTCTCTTGACTTGAGGGTTTCTCTTTTCTAGGGAGCTGAAGAAATTTGGTGAGGCCTTTGATGTCCATTAATGGCCAGAATTGACTCATTTGGTAGGTTTTCTAGGAAAAAGTTCTTAAGTTGTGAGAGGATGAAAGCAGACATATCAAGACTGCCTTTCCAGATGAGATCTACCAAATGCCCCGGAGTGATTCTCTCTGGAAGGCAGTCTTACAAAGGGGGACATCGGGATAGCTTAAAGAGGCACTAGTGCTGAACTGTTTGGAAATCTGCAACGAAGAATCCTTTGTTGGTGTTGTGATTCCTTAAGCACTGACCTCAGACTCCCTGGGTTCCCAGGAGGGCACAATGGGGTCAAGATACTTTACGGCGTTCTCAGGTACTAGAGTGCCTGTCTGGATGGCAAGCCATGTCAATGGAGTGTAGGAGAGGTACTGTCTTTTGTGCTTTTGAGCTGGAAATGACTCCTCCAATAGGGGTTCTGCTGTGGCCAGATGAGTAACCTATAGTAGAGATGCATGTTAGTTTTCCAATCCTTAGGTCAAGACAGGCTCAAACCTCGGCTCGTGTGTAGTGGAGATCACCCAATAGACTTTAGATCCCAGGACTGTGTTTTTTGTGCCTGGAATCCTTTAGGGTGCCACTCTTTTGGAGAGGCCTCAGCCCGCAAGTGACATACCCCTTGAACAAACAATGAGATGGTTTTTCCTGTGCAGAGCGACATCATTGACTGTTGAATTATGGTGTGTTCCTTGAAGAGAGAGGGTCTGAGACTGGCAGCCAGCCTGAGATACAGATGCACAGGTAAAGAGAGTCGAGAATGAAAGCAGATGGAATGACAGAAGGATGCTAGTTTCAAATACAGACTGAGATCAAGGACAGATGAGTGAAAACGTAGGGTATGCCCAGACAGTATACCATCCCTTGGGAAGAATGCCAAAGAGGAATCTTTGGAGTGGCCTGCCCTGAGGTAATTGAGATGATTAGCAGGGCAGAGTGTTGTAGATTGCTGAAGACATGCCATAAAAAATAGTTGCCAAACATTGTTCTGAGATGAGGAGGGAGGACAAGATGGAGGAAGCCAGGGTGGACGAGGCTGTGTCGATGTGGCAGATAGGCAGGGGTGTGGGGGTCGTAGTGTGTCCAGTGGTCCTGGAAAGATCTGATAGCAGAACTGAGGTGGAAATAGCAGCACGAGTTTGACAGACTGTGTGTGGTCACTATGTCAGAGGTGGTTCTGAGCATTATCTTGAAGAGTGTGCTCACTACTGTCGAGGTAACTGGATGTGCGGTCCAGCATGAAATATTTTGGTTGACCGCAGAGTGGGGCAAATGAACTCACAAGAGCAAGGAGGAGCCGTTATCCCCTGCTGCAAAACTGTGCACTTTCTGATGAGCCATGCTGGAGTGCTCTTGGGCAGAGCAGGAGTGGGAGAGAGCAGAAGTGATCTGATTATCCCATGGAGACCAGGCAGGCCAACCTTTCCCAGAACCATGTGGACGGTTCCAACTGTAACGTTGGCATGTGCTTTTTTCATGTGTCCCCAGTGTTGAAATCATTGTGTGGCATGGCCGGAGTGCAGAGAGAGTTGCACCTCATCTTTAGCCTAGGCTGGAGGAAAGTGCCTGGGCCACCAGTGAAGTTTCATGGCTCTGGGGACACGAACGGGAAAGCACGGAGTTGAAGGTAAGCCTCCCAATCAGGGAACCATATGTTCAGGGAACGCGGGTCTTGGTGGTGCTGCTAGGACTAAGCGTTTGTGAACCCGGGCGTGTCTGCACCAGTACTAGCTTGAGGGTCTCAAGGTGCTGCCCTTTTGTGTACAGGGTCCCATTGAAACGAGTTTCTTCTGCCACCTTGGGGAATTTCTTGGTATTTCTTGCAGCCCACCAACACCCGCAGTGTCCTTGAGTGTCAGTGCTGAATATCTCTGTGCAAGTGCACCACAGCATGCGTGGATCGATGATGATTCCCAGTCAAACATTCCTTGGAAAAGCTGAACAAAATGAGTGAAAACTCAATACCGCCGCTCTCATCGGGACTGAGGTCCAGCAACTTGGGTCACCCAAGTCCTCCAGGAGTCAGACACAGGCTCAGGAACCACTCCATTGCTCCTGCCCGACTCCAGCAGTAGCCAGACTCCATAACCATGGCCTGGTTCTTTCCCCACTCTGCCAGCAATCTTGGCCATGGTAAAGACGGCACTAATCCTGCTCTCCTGGAACCATCCCTTGGTGTGGTTGACTAGAAATCTTGAGAGGCATTGGGTAGGGATGGCGTCTACTAGCAGTGGCCTTCAGCTGGGCTGCAGAGTTAGCAATTGGAGAGGAAGATCAGAAGCCCCTCTGATTTGCACTGCTCATAGTGGAAAACAGGTCCTGGGATGGGGCCACTTCAAGTCTTCGCAAGAAGAACAAATGCAGGGTTGCTGCTGAGTGGGACTGTGAATTGCATCCTGCAGGTTATTGTGCCCTGGGACGTGACTTCTTGTGGCAGGATAGTTGTGGTCTCTTGACTTGAGGGTTTCTCTTTTCTAGGGAGCTGAAGAAATTTGGTGAGGCCTTTGATGTCCATTGATGGCCAGAATTGACTCATTTGGCAGGTTTTCTAGGAAAAAGTTCTTAAGTTGTGAGAGGATGAAAGCAGACATATCAAGACTGCCTTTCCAGATGAGATCTACCAAATGCCCCGGAGTGATTCTCTCTGGAAGGCAGTCTTACAAAGGGGGACATCGGGATAGCTTAAAGAGGCACTAGTGCTGAACTGTTTGGAAATCTGCAACGAAGAATCCTTTGTTGGTGTTGTGATTCCTTAAGCACTGACCTCAGACTCCCTGGGTTCCCAGGAGGGCACAATGGGGTCAAGATACTTTACGGCGTTCTCAGGTACTAGAGTGCCTGTCTGGATGGCAAGCCATGTCAATGGAGTGTAGGAGAGGTACTGTCTTTTGTGCTTTTGAGCTGGAAATGATTCCTCCAATAGGGGTTCTGCTGTGGCCAGATGAGGAACCTATAGTAGAGATGCATGTTAGTTTTCCAATCCTTAGGTCAAGACAGGCTCAAACCTCGGCTCGTGTGTAGTGGAGATCACCCAATAGACTTTAGATCCCAGGACTGTGTTTTTTGTGCCTGGAATCCTTTAGGGTGCCACTCTTTTGGAGAGGCCTCAGCCCGCAAGTGACATACCCCTTGAACAAACAATGAGATGGTTTTTCCTGTGCAGAGCGACATCATTGACTGTTGAATTATGGTGTGTTCCTTGAAGAGAGAGGGTCTGAGACTGGCAGCCAGCCTGAGATACAGATGCACAGGTAAAGAGAGTCGAGAATGAAAGCAGATGGAATGACAGAAGGATGCTAGTTTCAAATACAGACTGAGATCAAGGACAGATGAGTGAAAACGTAGGGTATGCCCAGACAGTATACCATCCCTTGGGAAGAATGCCAAAGAGGAATCTTTGGAGTGGCCTGCCCTGAGGTAATTGAGATGATTAGCAGGGCAGAGTGTTGTAGATTGCTGAAGACATGCCATAAAAAATAGTTGCCAAACATTGTTCTGAGATGAGGAGGGAGGACAAGATGGAGGAAGCCAGGGTGGACGAGGCTGTGTCGATGTGGCAGATAGGCAGGGGTGTGGGGGTCGTAGTGTGTCCAGTGGTCCTGGAAAGATCTGATAGCAGAACTGAGGTGGAAATAGCAGCACGAGTTTGACAGACTGTGTGTGGTCACTATGTCAGAGGTGGTTCTGAGCATTATCTTGAAGAGTGTGCTCACTACTGTCGAGGTAACTGGATGTGCGGTCCAGCATGAAATATTTTGGTTGACCGCAGAGTGGGGCAAATGAACTCACAAGAGCAAGGAGGAGCCGTTATCCCCTGCTGCAAAACTGTGCACTTTCTGATGAGCCATGCTGGAGTGCTCTTGGGCAGAGCAGGAGTGGGAGAGAGCAGAAGTGATCTGATTATCCCATGGAGACCAGGCAGGCCAACCTTTCCCAGAACCATGTGGACGGTTCCAACTGTAACGTTGGCATGTGATTTTTCATGTGTCCCCAGTGTTGAAATCATTGTGTGGCATGGCCGGAGTGCAGAGAGAGTTGCACCTCATCTTTAGCCTAGGCTGGAGGAAAGTGCCTGGGCCACCAGTGAAGTTTCATGGCTCTGGGGACACGAACGGGAAAGCACGGAGTTGAAGGTAAGCCTCCCAATCAGGGAACCATATGTTCAGGGAACGCGGGTCTTGGTGGTGCTGCTAGGACTAAGCGTTTGTGAACCCGGGCGTGTCTGCACCAGTACTAGCTTGAGGGTCTCAAGGTGCTGCCCTTTTGTGTACAGGGTCCCATTGAAACGAGTTTCTTCTGCCACCTTGGGGAATTTCTTGGTATTTCTTGCAGCCCACCAACACCCGCAGTGTCCTTGAGTGTCAGTGCTGAATATCTCTGTGCAAGTGCACCACAGCATGCGTGGATCGATGATGATTCCCAGTCAAACATTCCTTGGAAAAGCTGAACAAAATGAGTGAAAACTCAATACCGCCGCTCTCATCGGGACTGAGGTCCAGCAACTTGGGTCACCCAAGTCCTCCAGGAGTCAGACACAGGCTCAGGAACCACTCCATTGCTCCTGCCCGACTCCAGCAGTAGCCAGACTCCATAACCATGGCCTGGTTCTTTCCCCACTCTGCCAGCAATCTTGGCCATGGTAAAGACGGCACTAATCCTGCTCTCCTGGAACCATCCCTTGGTGTGGTTGACTAGAAATCTTGAGAGGCATTGGGTAGGGATGGCGTCTACTAGCAGTGGCCTTCAGCTGGGCTGCAGAGTTAGCAATTGGAGAGGAAGATCAGAAGCCCCTCTGATTTGCACTGCTCATAGTGGAAAACAGGTCCTGGGATGGGGCCACTTCAAGTCTTCGCAAGAAGAACAAATGCAGGGTTGCTGCTGAGTGGGACTGTGAATTGCATCCTGCAGGTTATTGTGCCCTGGGACGTGACTTCTTGTGGCAGGATAGTTGTGGTCTCTTGACTTGAGGGTTTCTCTTTTCTAGGGAGCTGAAGAAATTTGGTGAGGCCTTTGATGTCCATTGATGGCCAGAATTGACTCATTTGGTAGGTTTTCTAGGAAAAAGTTCTTAAGTTGTGAGAGGATGAAAGCAGACATATCAAGACTGCCTTTCCAGATGAGATCTACCAAATGCCCCGGAGTGATTCTCTCTGGAAGGCAGTCTTACAAAGGGGGGACATCGGGATAGCTTAAAGAGGCACTAGTGCTGAACTGTTTGGAAATCTGCAACGAAGAATCCTTTGTTGGTGTTGTGATTCCTTAAGCACTGACCTCAGACTCCCTGGGTTCCCAGGAGGGCACAATGGGGTCAAGATACTTTACGGCGTTCTCAGGTACTAGAGTGCCTGTCTGGATGGCAAGCCATGTCAATGGAGTGTAGGAGAGGTACTGTCTTTTGTGCTTTTGAGCTGGAAATGACTCCTCCAATAGGGGTTCTGCTGTGGCCAGATGAGTAACCTATAGTAGAGATGCATGTTAGTTTTCCAATCCTTAGGTCAAGACAGGCTCAAACCTCGGCTCGTGTGTAGTGGAGATCACCCAATAGACTTTAGATCCCAGGACTGTGTTTTTTGTGCCTGGAATCCTTTAGGGTGCCACTCTTTTGGAGAGGCCTCAGCCCGCAAGTGACATACCCCTTGAACAAACAATGAGATGGTTTTTCCTGTGCAGAGCGACATCGTTGACTGTGGACTTATGGTGTGTTCCTTGAAGAGAGAGGGTCTGAGACTGGCAGCCAGCCTGAGATACAGATGCACAGGTAAAGAGAGTCGAGAATGAAAGCAGATGGAATGACAGAAGGATGCTAGTTTCAAATACAGACTGAGATCAAGGACAGATGAGTGAAAACGTAGGGTATGCCCAGACAGTATACCATCCCTTGGGAAGAATGCCAAAGAGGAATCTTTGGAGTGGCCTGCCCTGAGGTAAATGAGATGATTAGCAGGGCAGAGTGTTGTAGATTGCTGAAGACATGCCATAAAAAATAGTTGCCAAACATTGTTCTGAGATGAGGAGGGAGGACAAGATGGAGGAAGCCAGGGTGGACGAGGCTGTGTCGATGTGGCAGATAGGCAGTGGTGTGGGGGTCTTAGTGTGTCCAGTGGTCCTGGAAAGATCTGATAGCAGAACTGAGGTGGAAATAGCAGCACGAGTTTGACAGACTGTGTGTGGTCACTATGTCAGAGGTGGTTGTGAGCATTATCTTGAAGAGTGTGCTCACTACTGTCGAGGTAACTGGATGTGCGGTCCAGCATGAAATATTTTGGTTGACCGCAGAGTGGGGCAAATGAACTCACAAGAGCAAGGAGGAGCCGTTATCCCCTGCTGCAAAACTGTGCACTTTCTGATGAGCCATGCTGGAGTGCTCTTGGGCAGAGCAGGAGTGGGAGAGAGCAGAAGTGATCTGATTATCCCATGGAGACCAGGCAGGCCAACCTTTCCCAGAACCATGTGGACGGTTCCAACTGTAACGTTGGCATGTGCTTTTTTCATGTGTCCCCAGTGTTGAAATCATTGTGTGGCATGGCCGGAGTGCAGAGAGAGTTGCACCTCATCTTTAGCCTAGGCTGGAGGAAAGTGCCTGGGCCACCAGTGAAGTTTCATGGCTCTGTGGACACGAACGGGAAAGCACGGAGTTGAAGGTAAGCCTCCCAATCAGGGAACCGTATGTTCAGGGAACGCGGGTCTTGGTGGTGCTGCTAGGACTAAGCGTTTGTGAATCCGGGCGTGTCTGCACCAGTACTAGCTTGAGGGTCTCAAGGTGCTGCCCTTTTGTGTACAGGGTCCCATTGAAACGAGTTTCTTCTGCCACCTTGGGGAATTTCTTGGTATTTCTTGCAGCCCACCAACACCCGCAGTGTCCTTGAGTGTCAGTGCTGAATATCTCTGTGCAAGTGCACCACAGCATGCGTGGATCGATGATGATTCCCAGTCAAACATTCCTTGGAAAAGCTGAACAAAATGAGTGAAAACTCAATACCGCCGCTCTCATCGGGACTGAGGTCCAGCAACTTGGGTCACCCAAGTCCTCCAGGAGTCAGACACAGGCTCAGGAACCACTCCATTGCTCCTGCCCGACTCCAGCAGTAGACAGACTCCATAACCATGGCCTGGTTCTTTCCCCACTCTGCCAGCAATCTTGGCCATGGTAAAGACGGCACTAATCCTGCTCTCCTGGAACCATCCCTTGGTGTGGTTGACTAGAAATCTTGAGAGGCATTGGGTAGGGATGGCGTCTACTAGCAGTGGCCTTCAGCTGGGCTGCAGAGTTAGCAATTGGAGAGGAAGATCAGAAGCCCCTCTGATTTGCACTGCTCATAGCGGAAAACAGGTCCTGGGATGGGGCCACTTCAAGTCTTCGCAAGAAGAACAAATGCAGGGTTGCTGCTGAGTGGGACTGTGAATTGCATCCTGCAGGTTATTGTGCCCTGGGACGTGACTTCTTGTGGCAGGATAGTTGTGGTCTCTTGACTTGAGGGTTTCTCTTTTCTAGGGAGCTGAAGAAATTTGGTGAGGCCTTTGATGTCCATTAATGGCCAGAATTGACTCATTTGGTAGGTTTTCTAGGAAAAAGTTCTTAAGTTGTGAGAGGATGAAAGCAGACATATCAAGACTGCCTTTCCAGATGAGATCTACCAAATGCCCCGGAGTGATTCTCTCTGGAAGGCAGTCTTACAAAGGGGGACATCGGGATAGCTTAAAGAGGCACTAGTGCTGAACTGTTTGGAAATCTGCAACGAAGAATCCTTTGTTGGTGTTGTGATTCCTTAAGCACTGACCTCAGACTCCCTGGGTTCCCAGGAGGGCACAATGGGGTCAAGATACTTTACGGCGTTCTCAGGTACTAGAGTGCCTGTCTGGATGGCAAGCCATGTCAATGGAGTGTAGGAGAGGTACTGTCTTTGTGCTACTTGAGCTGGAAATGACTCCTCCAATAGGGGTTCTGCTGTGGCCAGATGGGTAACCTATAGTAGAGATGCACATGTTAGTTTTCCAATCCTGGGGCCAGAGACAGGCTCAAGCAGCCTCGGCACCGTGTGTGAGTGGAGATCCACCCAATAGACTTTGGATCCGAGGTACTGTGTTTTCAGGCGCCCCTGGGATGCCACGTGCCTATCTTGGAGAGGCACCTCAACCCGCCAAGTGAGCATACACCATGAACCAACGATGAGATGGTTTTTCCTGTGCACGAAGCGATCATCAGCAGCTGTTCAGATTATGGTGCGCTTACGCCAGAGGAAGGTCTAGGGCTGGCGAGCCATCTGAATCCCTAGGCGCACAGGTGAAGAGAGTCGAGAAGTGGGTAGCGAGATGGAATGACCGAGGAAGGATGCTAGTTTCAAATACAGACTGAGATCAAGGACAGATGAGTGAAAACGTAGGGTATGCCAGACAGGTATCACCATCCTTGGGAAGAATGCACCAAGAGAGGAATCTTTGAGTGGCACCCTAGAGGTAAATGAGATGATGTAGCAGGGCAGAGTGTTGTAGATTGCTGAAGACATGCCATAAAAATAGTTGCCAAACATTGTTCTGAGATGAGGAGGAGGACAAGATGGAGGAAGCCAGGGTGGACGAGGCTGTGTCGATGTGGCAGATAGGCAGGGGTGTGGGGGTCGTAGTGTGTCCAGTGGTCCTGGAAAGATCTGATAGCAGAACTGAGGTGGAAATAGCAGCACTGAGTTTGACAGACTGTGTGTGGTCACTATGTCAGAGGTGGTTCTGAGCATTATCTTGAAGAGTGTGCTCACTACTGTCGAGGTAACTGGATGTGCGGTCCAGCATGAAATATTTTGGTTGACCGCAGAGTGGGGCAAATGAACTCACAAGAGCAAGGAGGAGCCGTTATCCCCTGCTGCAAAACTGTGCACTTTCTGATGAGCCATGCTGGAGTGCTCTTGGGCAGAGCAGGAGTGGGAGAGAGCAGAAGTGATCTGATTATCCCATGGAGACCAGGCAGGCCAACCTTTCCCAGAACCATGGAGCCGGTTTCCAACTGCTGACGATTGTCATGTGCTTTTTTCACGTCATCCCCAGTGTTGAAATCATTGTGTGGCATGGCCGAGTACAAAGAGAGTTGCACCTCATCTTTGAACCTAGGCTGGAGGAAAGTGCACCTGGGCCACTGAAGTGCAGTTTCATGGCTCTGTGGACCACGGGCGAAAGCCCTGAGTTGAAGGTAAGCCTCCCAATCAGGGAGCCGTATGATTCGAGGAGCAGCGGGTCTTGGTGGTGCTGCTGGACTAAGCGTTTGTGAATCCGAGGCGATGTCTGCACCAGTACTAGCTTGAGGGTCTCAAGGTGCTGCCCTTTGTGTGCAGGGTCCATTGAGCGGGTTTATTCTGCCACCTTGGGAATTTCTTGGTATTTCTTGCAGCCCACCCAGCAGTGTCCTTGAGTGTCAGTGCTGAATATCTCTGTGCAGTGCACCACAGCATCAGTGGATCGATGATGATTCCCAGTCAAACATTCCTTGGAAAAGCTGAAATAAATGAGTGAGCCTCAATACATCGCGCGCTCTCATCGGGACTGGGGTCAGCAACCAGGTCAGCCAAGTCCTCCAGAGTCAGACACGGCTCAGGAACCACTCCGTTGCTCACCCGACTCCAGCTGTGTGAACTCCCATAACCCATGGCTAGTTCTTTCCCCACTCTGCCAGCAATCTTGGCCATGAGTCAGAACGGCAGCTAATCTGCTCTCCTGGAACCATCCCTTAGTGTGGTTGGTTAGAAATCTTGAGAGGCATTGGGTAGGGATGGCGTCTACTAGCAGTGGCCTTCGGCTGGGCTGCAGAGTTAGCAATTGGAAGAAGATCAGAAGCCCCTCTGGTTTGCACTGCTCCTAGCGGAAAACAGGTCCTGGGATGGGGCCCTTCGAGTCTTGCTAAGAAGAACAAATGCAGGGTTGCTGCTGAGTGGAGCTGTGAATTGCATCCTGCAGGTTCTTGTGCCCTGGGACGTGACTTCTTGTGGCAGGATAGTTGTGGTCTCTTGACTTGAGGTTTCTCTTTTCTAAGGAGCTGAAGAAATTTGGTGAGGCCCTTTGATGTCCATTAATGGCAAAATTGACTCATTTGGTAGGTTTTCTCAGGAAAAAGTTCTTAAGTTGTGAGAGGATAAAGCCAGACATATCAGGGACTGCCTTTCCAGATGAGATCTCCAAATGCCAGGAGTGATTCTCTCTGGAAGGTAGTCTTACAAGGAGGACATGGGATAGCCAAGAGGCACTAGTGTACTTTGAACTGTTTGAGAATCGCAAGAAGAATCCTTTGTTGGTATTTGTGATTCCTTAAGCACTGACCCTCAGAACTCCCTGGGTTCCAGGAGGCACAATGGGGTCAAGATACTTTCACAGACGTTCTCAGGTACTAGAGTGCCTCTCTGGATGGCAAGCCATGTCAATGCGAGTGTGGAGAGGTACTGTCTTTTGTGCTTTTGAGACTAAATGACTCCTCAATAGGGGTTCTGCTGTGTGCAGATCGAAGTAACCTATAGTAGAGATGCTGTTAGTTTTCCAATCCTTAGGTCCAAGACAGGCTCAAACCTCGGCGCAGTGTGTGTGGCGAGATCACCCAATAGACTTTAGATCCCAGACTGTGTTTTGTGCCTGGAATCCTTTAGGGTGCCACTCTTTTGGAGAGGCCTCGGCCCGCATAGTGACATACCCCTGAACAAACAATGAGATGGTTTTTCCTGTGCAGAGCGACATCATTGACTGTGTGAATTATGGTGTGTTCCTTGAAGAGAGAGGGTCTGAGACTGGCAGCCATCCTGAGATACAGATGCCACAGGTAAAGAGAGTCGAGAATGAAAGCAGATGGAATGACCTGAAGGATGCTAGTTTCAAATACAGACTGAGATCAAGGACAGATGAGTGAAAGCAGTAAGGGTATGCCCAGACAGTATACCATCCCTTGGGAAGAGATGCCAAAGAGGAATCTTTGGAGTGTAGCTTCACCCTGAGGTAAATGAGATGATTAGCAGGGCAGAGTGTTGTAGATTGCTGAAGACATGCCATAAAAAATAGTTGCCAAACATTGTTCTGAGATGAGGAGGGAGGACAAGATGGAGGAAGCCAGGGTGGACGAGGCTGTGTCGATGTGGCAGATAGGCAGGGGTGTGGGGGGTCGTAGTGTGTCCAGTGGTCCTGGAAAGATCTGATAGCAGAACTGAGGTGGAAATAGCATCACGAGTTTGACAGACTGTGTGTGGTCACTATGTCAGAGGTGGTTGTGAGCATTATCTTGAAGAGTGTGCTCACTACTGTCGAGGGGTAACTGGATGTGCGGTCCAGCATGAAATATTTTGGTTGACCGCAGAGTGGGGCAAATGAACTCACAAGAGCAAGGAGGAGCCGTTATCCCCTGCTGCAAAACTGTGCACTTTCTGATGAGCCATGCTGGAGTGCTCTTGGGCAGAGCAGGAGTGGGAGAGAGCAGAAGTGATCTGATTATCCCATGGAGACCAGGCAGGCCAACCTTTCCCAGAACCATGTGGACGGTTCCAACTGTAACGTTGTCATGTGCTTTTTTCATGTGTCCCCAGTGTTGAAATCATTGTGTGGCATGGCCGGAGTGCAAAGAGAGTTGCACCTCATCTTTAGCCTAGGCTGGAGGAAAGTGCCTGGGCCACCAGTGAAGTTTCATGGCTCTGTGGACACGAACGGGAAAGCACGGAGTTGAAGGTAAGCCTCCCAATCAGGGAACCGTATGTTCAGGGAACGCGGGTCTTGGTGGTGCTGCTAGGACTAAGCGTTTGTGAATCCGGGCGTGTCTGCACCAGTACTAGCTTGAGGGTCTCAAGGTGCTGCCCTTTTGTGTACAGGGTCCCATTGAAACGAGTTTATTCTGCCACCTTGGGGAATTTCTTGGTATTTCTTGCAGCCCACCAACACCCGCAGTGTCCTTGAGTGTCAGTGCTGAATATCTCTGTGCAAGTGCACCACAGCATGCGTGGATCGATGATGATTCCCAGTCAAACATTCCTTGGAAAAGCTGAACAAAATGAGTGAAAACTCAATACCGCCGCTCTCATCGGGACTGAGGTCCAGCAACTTGGGTCAGCCAAGTCCTCCAGGAGTCAGACACAGGCTCAGGAACCACTCCATTGCTCCTGCCCGACTCCAGCAGTAGCCAGACTCATAACCATGGCCTGGTTCTTTGCCCACTCTGCCAGCAATCTTGGCCATGGTAAAGACGGCACTAATCCTGCTCTCCTGGAACCATCCCTTAGTGTGGTTGACTAGAAATCTTGAGAGGCATTGGGTAGGGATGGCGTCTACTAGCAGTGGCCTTCAGCTGGGCTGCAGAGTTAGCAATTGGAGAGGAAGATCAGAAGCCCCTCTGATTTGCACTGCTCATAGCGGAAAACAGGTCCTGGGATGGGGCCACTTCAAGTCTTCGCAAGAAGAACAAATGCAGGGTTGCTGCTGAGTGGGACTGTGAATTGCATCCTGCAGGTTATTGTGCCCTGGGACGTGACTTCTTGTGGCAGGATAGTTGTGGTCTCTTGACTTGAGGGTTTCTCTTTTCTAGGGAGCTGAAGAAATTTGGTGAGGCCTTTGATGTCCATTAATGGCCAGAATTGACTCATTTGGTAGGTTTTCTAGGAAAAAGTTCTTAAGTTGTGAGAGGATGAAAGCAGACATATCAAGACTGCCTTTCCAGATGAGATCTACCAAATGCCCCGGAGTGATTCTCTCTGGAAGGCAGTCTTACAAAGGGGGGACATCGGGATAGCTTAAAGAGGCACTAGTGCTGAACTGTTTGGAAATCTGCAAAGAAGAATCCTTTGTTGGTGTTGTGATTCCTTAAGCACTGACCTCAGACTCCCTGGGTTCCCAGGAGGGCACAATGGGGTCAAGATACTTTACGGCGTTCTCAGGTACTAGAGTGCCTGTCTGGATGGCAAGCCATGTCAATGGAGTGTAGGAGAGGTACTGTCTTTTGTGCTTTTGAGCTGGAAATGACTCCTCCAATAGGGGTTCTGCTGTGGCCAGATGAGTAACCTATAGTAGAGATGCATGTTAGTTTTCCAATCCTTAGGTCAAGACAGGCTCAAACCTCGGCTCGTGTGTAGTGGAGATCACCCAATAGACTTTAGATCCCAGGACTGTGTTTTTTGTGCCTGGAATCCTTTAGGGTGCCACTCTTTTGGAGAGGCCTCAGCCCGCAAGTGACATACCCCTTGAACAAACAATGAGATGGTTTTTCCTGTGCAGAGCGACATCATTGACTGTTGAATTATGGTGTGTTCCTTGAAGAGAGAGGGTCTGAGACTGGCAGCCAGCCTGAGATACAGATGCACAGGTAAAGAGAGTCGAGAATGAAAGCAGATGGAATGACAGAAGGATGCTAGTTTCAAATACAGACTGAGATCAAGGACAGATGAGTGAAAACGTAGGGTATGCCCAGACAGTATACCATCCCTTGGGAAGAATGCCAAAGAGGAATCTTTGGAGTGGCCTGCCCTGAGGTAAATGAGATGATTAGCAGGGCAGAGTGTTGTAGATTGCTGAAGACATGCCATAAAAAATAGTTGCCAAACATTGTTCTGAGATGAGGAGGGAGGACAAGATGGAGGAAGCCAGGGTGGACGAGGCTGTGTCGATGTGGCAGATAGGCAGGGGTGTGGGGGTCGTAGTGTGTCCAGTGGTCCTGGAAAGATCTGATAGCAGAACTGAGGTGGAAATAGCAGCACGAGTTTGACAGACTGTGTGTGGTCACTATGTCAGAGGTGGTTCTGAGCATTATCTTGAAGAGTGTGCTCACTACTGTCGAGGTAACTGGATGTGCGGTCCAGCATGAAATATTTTGGTTGACCGCAGAGTGGGGCAAATGAACTCACAAGAGCAAGGAGGAGCCGTTATCCCCTGCTGCAAAACTGTGCACTTTCTGATGAGCCATGCTGGAGTGCTCTTGGGCAGAGCAGGAGTGGGAGAGAGCAGAAGTGATCTGATTATCCCATGGAGACCAGGCAGGCCAACCTTTCCCAGAACCATGTGGACGGTTCCAACTGTAACGTTGGCATGTGCTTTTTTCATGTGTCCCCAGTGTTGAAATCATTGTGTGGCATGGCCGGAGTGCAGAGAGAGTTGCACCTCATCTTTAGCCTAGGCTGGAGGAAAGTGCCTGGGCCACCAGTGAAGTTTCATGGCTCTGGGGACACGAACGGGAAAGCACGGAGTTGAAGGTAAGCCTCCCAATCAGGGAACCGTATGTTCAGGGAACGCGGGTCTTGGTGGTGCTGCTAGGACTAAGCGTTTGTGAATCCGGGCGTGTCTGCACCAGTACTAGCTTGAGGGTCTCAAGGTGCTGCCCTTTTGTGTACAGGGTCCCATTGAAACGAGTTTCTTCTGCCACCTTGGGGAATTTCTTGGTATTTCTTGCAGCCCACCAACACCCGCAGTGTCCTTGAGTGTCAGTGCTGAATATCTCTGTGCAAGTGCACCACAGCATGCGTGGATCGATGATGATTCCCAGTCAAACATTCCTTGGAAAAGCTGAACAAAATGAGTGAAAACTCAATACCGCCGCTCTCATCGGGACTGAGGTCCAGCAACTTGGGTCAGCCAAGTCCTCCAGGAGTCAGACACAGGCTCAGGAACCACTCCATTGCTCCTGCCCGACTCCAGCAGTAGCCAGACTCCATAACCATGGCCTGGTTCTTTCCCCACTCTGCCAGCAATCTTGGCCATGGTAAAGACGGCACTAATCCTGCTCTCCTGGAACCATCCCTTGGTGTGGTTGACTAGAAATCTTGAGAGGCATTGGGTAGGGATGGCGTCTACTAGCAGTGGCCTTCAGCTGGGCTGCAGAGTTAGCAATTGGAGAGGAAGATCAGAAGCCCCTCTGATTTGCACTGCTCATAGCGGAAAACAGGTCCTGGGATGGGGCCACTTCAAGTCTTCGCAAGAAGAACAAATGCAGGGTTGCTGCTGAGTGGGACTGTGAATTGCATCCTGCAGGTTATTGTGCCCTGGGACGTGACTTCTTGTGGCAGGATAGTTGTGGTCTCTTGACTTGAGGGTTTCTCTTTTCTAGGGAGCTGAAGAAATTTGGTGAGGCCTTTGATGTCCATTGATGGCCAGAATTGACTCATTTGGCAGGTTTTCTAGGAAAAAGTTCTTAAGTTGTGAGAGGATGAAAGCAGACATATCAAGACTGCCTTTCCAGATGAGATCTACCAAATGCCCCGGAGTGATTCTCTCTGGAAGGCAGTCTTACAAAGGGGGACATCGGGATAGCTTAAAGAGGCACTAGTGCTGAACTGTTTGGAAATCTGCAACGAAGAATCCTTTGTTGGTGTTGTGATTCCTTAAGCACTGACCTCAGACTCCCTGGGTTCCCAGGAGGGCACAATGGGGTCAAGATACTTTACGGCGTTCTCAGGTACTAGAGTGCCTGTCTGGATGGCAAGCCATGTCAATGGAGTGTAGGAGAGGTACTGTCTTTTGTGCTTTTGAGCTGGAAATGACTCCTCCAATAGGGGTTCTGCTGTGGCCAGATGAGTAACCTATAGTAGAGATGCATGTTAGTTTTCCAATCCTTAGGTCAAGACAGGCTCAAACCTCGGCTCGTGTGTAGTGGAGATCACCCAATAGACTTTAGATCCCAGGACTGTGTTTTTTGTGCCTGGAATCCTTTAGGGTGCCACTCTTTTGGAGAGGCCTCAGCCCGCAAGTGACATACCCCTTGAACAAACAATGAGATGGTTTTTCCTGTGCAGAGCGACATCATTGACTGTTGAATTATGGTGTGTTCCTTGAAGAGAGAGGGTCTGAGACTGGCAGCCAGCCTGAGATACAGATGCACAGGTAAAGAGAGTCGAGAATGAAAGCAGATGGAATGACAGAAGGATGCTAGTTTCAAATACAGACTGAGATCAAGGACAGATGAGTGAAAACGTAGGGTATGCCCAGACAGTATACCATCCCTTGGGAAGAATGCCAAAGAGGAATCTTTGGAGTGGCCTGCCCTGAGGTAATTGAGATGATTAGCAGGGCAGAGTGTTGTAGATTGCTGAAGACATGCCATAAAAAATAGTTGCCAAACATTGTTCTGAGATGAGGAGGGAGGACAAGATGGAGGAAGCCAGGGTGGACGAGGCTGTGTCGATGTGGCAGATAGGCAGGGGTGTGGGGGTCGTAGTGTGTCCAGTGGTCCTGGAAAGATCTGATAGCAGAACTGAGGTGGAAATAGCAGCACGAGTTTGACAGACTGTGTGTGGTCACTATGTCAGAGGTGGTTCTGAGCATTATCTTGAAGAGTGTGCTCACTACTGTCGAGGTAACTGGATGTGCGGTCCAGCATGAAATATTTTGGTTGACCGCAGAGTGGGGCAAATGAACTCACAAGAGCAAGGAGGAGCCGTTATCCCCTGCTGCAAAACTGTGCACTTTCTGATGAGCCATGCTGGAGTGCTCTTGGGCAGAGCAGGAGTGGGAGAGAGCAGAAGTGATCTGATTATCCCATGGAGACCAGGCAGGCCAACCTTTCCCAGAACCATGTGGACGGTTCCAACTGTAACGTTGGCATGTGCTTTTTTCATGTGTCCCCAGTGTTGAAATCATTGTGTGGCATGGCCGGAGTGCAGAGAGAGTTGCACCTCATCTTTAGCCTAGGCTGGAGGAAAGTGCCTGGGCCACCAGTGAAGTTTCATGGCTCTGGGGACACGAACGGGAAAGCACGGAGTTGAAGGTAAGCCTCCCAATCAGGGAACCATATGTTCAGGGAACGCGGGTCTTGGTGGTGCTGCTAGGACTAAGCGTTTGTGAACCCGGGCGTGTCTGCACCAGTACTAGCTTGAGGGTCTCAAGGTGCTGCCCTTTTGTGTACAGGGTCCCATTGAAACGAGTTTCTTCTGCCACCTTGGGGAATTTCTTGGTATTTCTTGCAGCCCACCAACACCCGCAGTGTCCTTGAGTGTCAGTGCTGAATATCTCTGTGCAAGTGCACCACAGCATGCGTGGATCGATGATGATTCCCAGTCAAACATTCCTTGGAAAAGCTGAACAAAATGAGTGAAAACTCAATACCGCCGCTCTCATCGGGACTGAGGTCCAGCAACTTGGGTCACCCAAGTCCTCCAGGAGTCAGACACAGGCTCAGGAACCACTCCATTGCTCCTGCCCGACTCCAGCAGTAGCCAGACTCCATAACCATGGCCTGGTTCTTTCCCCACTCTGCCAGCAATCTTGGCCATGGTAAAGACGGCACTAATCCTGCTCTCCTGGAACCATCCCTTGGTGTGGTTGACTAGAAATCTTGAGAGGCATTGGGTAGGGATGGCGTCTACTAGCAGTGGCCTTCAGCTGGGCTGCAGAGTTAGCAATTGGAGAGGAAGATCAGAAGCCCCTCTGATTTGCACTGCTCATAGTGGAAAACAGGTCCTGGGATGGGGCCACTTCAAGTCTTCGCAAGAAGAACAAATGCAGGGTTGCTGCTGAGTGGGACTGTGAATTGCATCCTGCAGGTTATTGTGCCCTGGGACGTGACTTCTTGTGGCAGGATAGTTGTGGTCTCTTGACTTGAGGGTTTCTCTTTTCTAGGGAGCTGAAGAAATTTGGTGAGGCCTTTGATGTCCATTAATGGCCAGAATTGACTCATTTGGTAGGTTTTCTAGGAAAAAGTTCTTAAGTTGTGAGAGGATGAAAGCAGACATATCAAGACTGCCTTTCCAGATGAGATCTACCAAATGCCCCGGAGTGATTCTCTCTGGAAGGCAGTCTTACAAAGGGGGACATCGGGATAGCTTAAAGAGGCACTAGTGCTGAACTGTTTGGAAATCTGCAACGAAGAATCCTTTGTTGGTGTTGTGATTCCTTAAGCACTGACCTCAGACTCCCTGGGTTCCCAGGAGGGCACAATGGGGTCAAGATACTTTACGGCGTTCTCAGGTACTAGAGTGCCTGTCTGGATGGCAAGCCATGTCAATGGAGTGTAGGAGAGGTACTGTCTTTTGTGCTTTTGAGCTGGAAATGACTCCTCCAATAGGGGTTCTGCTGTGGCCAGATGAGTAACCTATAGTAGAGATGCATGTTAGTTTTCCAATCCTTAGGTCAAGACAGGCTCAAACCTCGGCTCGTGTGTAGTGGAGATCACCCAATAGACTTTAGATCCCAGGACTGTGTTTTTTGTGCCTGGAATCCTTTAGGGTGCCACTCTTTTGGAGAGGCCTCAGCCCGCAAGTGACATACCCCTTGAACAAACAATGAGATGGTTTTTCCTGTGCAGAGCGACATCATTGACTGTTGAATTATGGTGTGTTCCTTGAAGAGAGAGGGTCTGAGACTGGCAGCCAGCCTGAGATACAGATGCACAGGTAAAGAGAGTCGAGAATGAAAGCAGATGGAATGACCGAAGGATGCTAGTTTCAAATACAGACTGAGATCAAGGACAGATGAGTGAAAACGTAGGGTATGCCCAGACAGTATACCATCCCTTGGGAAGAATGCCAAAGAGGAATCTTTGGAGTGGCCTGCCCTGAGGTAAATGAGATGATTAGCAGGGCAGAGTGTTGTAGATTGCTGAAGACATGCCATAAAAAATAGTTGCCAAACATTGTTCTGAGATGAGGAGGGAGGACAAGATGGAGGAAGCCAGGGTGGACGAGGCTGTGTCGATGTGGCAGATAGGCAGGGGTGTGGGGGTCGTAGTGTGTCCAGTGGTCCTGGAAAGATCTGATAGCAGAACTGAGGTGGAAATAGCAGCACGAGTTTGACAGACTGTGTGTGGTCACTATGTCAGAGGTGGTTCTGAGCATTATCTTGAAGAGTGTGCTCACTACTGTCGAGGTAACTGGATGTGCGGTCCAGCATGAAATATTTTGGTTGACCGCAGAGTGGGGCAAATGAACTCACAAGAGCAAGGAGGAGCCGTTATCCCCTGCTGCAAAACTGTGCACTTTCTGATGAGCCATGCTGGAGTGCTCTTGGGCAGAGCAGGAGTGGGAGAGAGCAGAAGTGATCTGATTATCCCATGGAGACCAGGCAGGCCAACCTTTCCCAGAACCATGTGGACGGTTCCAACTGTAACGTTGGCATGTGATTTTTCATGTGTCCCCAGTGTTGAAATCATTGTGTGGCATGGCCGGAGTGCAGAGAGAGTTGCACCTCATCTTTAGCCTAGGCTGGAGGAAAGTGCCTGGGCCACCAGTGAAGTTTCATGGCTCTGTGGACACGAACGGGAAAGCACGGAGTTGAAGGTAAGCCTCCCAATCAGGGAACCGTATGTTCAGGGAACGCGGGTCTTGGTGGTGCTGCTAGGACTAAGCGTTTGTGAATCCGGGCGTGTCTGCACCAGTACTAGCTTGAGGGTCTCAAGGTGCTGCCCTTTTGTGTACAGGGTCCCATTGAAACGAGTTTATTCTGCCACCTTGGGGAATTTCTTGGTATTTCTTGCAGCCCACCAACACCCGCAGTGTCCTTGAGTGTCAGTGCTGAATATCTCTGTGCAAGTGCACCACAGCATGCGTGGATCGATGATGATTCCCAGTCAAACATTCCTTGGAAAAGCTGAACAAAATGAGTGAAAACTCAATACCGCCGCTCTCATCGGGACTGAGGTCCAGCAACTTGGGTCAGCCAAGTCCTCCAGGAGTCAGACACAGGCTCAGGAACCACTCCATTGCTCCTGCCCGACTCCAGCAGTAGCCAGACTCCATAACCATGGCCTGGTTCTTTCCCCACTCTGCCAGCAATCTTGGCCATGGTAAAGACGGCACTAATCCTGCTCTCCTGGAACCATCCCTTGGTGTGGTTGACTAGAAATCTTGAGAGGCATTGGGTAGGGATGGCGTCTACTAGCAGTGGCCTTCAGCTGGGCTGCAGAGTTAGCAATTGGAGAGGAAGATCAGAAGCCCCTCTGATTTGCACTGCTCATAGCGGAAAACAGGTCCTGGGATGGGGCCACTTCAAGTCTTCGCAAGAAGAACAAATGCAGGGTTGCTGCTGAGTGGGACTGTGAATTGCATCCTGCAGGTTATTGTGCCCTGGGACGTGACTTCTTGTGGCAGGATAGTTGTGGTCTCTTGACTTGAGGGTTTCTCTTTTCTAGGGAGCTGAAGAAATTTGGTGAGGCCTTTGATGTCCATTAATGGCCAGAATTGACTCATTTGGTAGGTTTTCTAGGAAAAAGTTCTTAAGTTGTGAGAGGATGAAAGCAGACATATCAAGACTGCCTTTCCAGATGAGATCTACCAAATGCCCCGGAGTGATTCTCTCTGGAAGGCAGTCTTACAAAGGGGGACATCGGGATAGCTTAAAGAGGCACTAGTGCTGAACTGTTTGGAAATCTGCAACGAAGAATCCTTTGTTGGTGTTGTGATTCCTTAAGCACTGACCTCAGACTCCCTGGGTTCCCAGGAGGGCACAATGGGGTCAAGATACTTTACGGCGTTCTCAGGTACTAGAGTGCCTGTCTGGATGGCAAGCCATGTCAATGGAGTGTAGGAGAGGTACTGTCTTTTGTGCTTTTGAGCTGGAAATGACTCCTCCAATAGGGGTTCTGCTGTGGCCAGATGAGTAACCTATAGTAGAGATGCATGTTAGTTTTCCAATCCTTAGGTCAAGACAGGCTCAAACCTCGGCTCGTGTGTAGTGGAGATCACCCAATAGACTTTAGATCCCAGGACTGTGTTTTTTGTGCCTGGAATCCTTTAGGGTGCCACTCTTTTGGAGAGGCCTCAGCCCGCAAGTGACATACCCCTTGAACAAACAATGAGATGGTTTTTCCTGTGCAGAGCGACATCATTGACTGTTGAATTATGGTGTGTTCCTTGAAGAGAGAGGGTCTGAGACTGGCAGCCAGCCTGAGATACAGATGCACAGGTAAAGAGAGTCGAGAATGAAAGCAGATGGAATGACAGAAGGATGCTAGTTTCAAATACAGACTGAGATCAAGGACAGATGAGTGAAAACGTAGGGTATGCCCAGACAGTATACCATCCCTTGGGAAGAATGCCAAAGAGGAATCTTTGGAGTGGCCTGCCCTGAGGTAATTGAGATGATTAGCAGGGCAGAGTGTTGTAGATTGCTGAAGACATGCCATAAAAAATAGTTGCCAAACATTGTTCTGAGATGAGGAGGGAGGACAAGATGGAGGAAGCCAGGGTGGACGAGGCTGTGTCGATGTGGCAGATAGGCAGGGGTGTGGGGGTCGTAGTGTGTCCAGTGGTCCTGGAAAGATCTGATAGCAGAACTGAGGTGGAAATAGCAGCACGAGTTTGACAGACTGTGTGTGGTCACTATGTCAGAGGTGGTTCTGAGCATTATCTTGAAGAGTGTGCTCACTACTGTCGAGGTAACTGGATGTGCGGTCCAGCATGAAATATTTTGGTTGACCGCAGAGTGGGGCAAATGAACTCACAAGAGCAAGGAGGAGCCGTTATCCCCTGCTGCAAAACTGTGCACTTTCTGATGAGCCATGCTGGAGTGCTCTTGGGCAGAGCAGGAGTGGGAGAGAGCAGAAGTGATCTGATTATCCCATGGAGACCAGGCAGGCCAACCTTTCCCAGAACCATGTGGACGGTTCCAACTGTAACGTTGGCATGTGATTTTTCATGTGTCCCCAGTGTTGAAATCATTGTGTGGCATGGCCGGAGTGCAGAGAGAGTTGCACCTCATCTTTAGCCTAGGCTGGAGGAAAGTGCCTGGGCCACCAGTGAAGTTTCATGGCTCTGGGGACACGAACGGGAAAGCACGGAGTTGAAGGTAAGCCTCCCAATCAGGGAACCATATGTTCAGGGAACGCGGGTCTTGGTGGTGCTGCTAGGACTAAGCGTTTGTGAACCCGGGCGTGTCTGCACCAGTACTAGCTTGAGGGTCTCAAGGTGCTGCCCTTTTGTGTACAGGGTCCCATTGAAACGAGTTTCTTCTGCCACCTTGGGGAATTTCTTGGTATTTCTTGCAGCCCACCAACACCCGCAGTGTCCTTGAGTGTCAGTGCTGAATATCTCTGTGCAAGTGCACCACAGCATGCGTGGATCGATGATGATTCCCAGTCAAACATTCCTTGGAAAAGCTGAACAAAATGAGTGAAAACTCAATACCGCCGCTCTCATCGGGACTGAGGTCCAGCAACTTGGGTCACCCAAGTCCTCCAGGAGTCAGACACAGGCTCAGGAACCACTCCATTGCTCCTGCCCGACTCCAGCAGTAGCCAGACTCCATAACCATGGCCTGGTTCTTTCCCCACTCTGCCAGCAATCTTGGCCATGGTAAAGACGGCACTAATCCTGCTCTCCTGGAACCATCCCTTGGTGTGGTTGACTAGAAATCTTGAGAGGCATTGGGTAGGGATGGCGTCTACTAGCAGTGGCCTTCAGCTGGGCTGCAGAGTTAGCAATTGGAGAGGAAGATCAGAAGCCCCTCTGATTTGCACTGCTCATAGTGGAAAACAGGTCCTGGGATGGGGCCACTTCAAGTCTTCGCAAGAAGAACAAATGCAGGGTTGCTGCTGAGTGGGACTGTGAATTGCATCCTGCAGGTTATTGTGCCCTGGGACGTGACTTCTTGTGGCAGGATAGTTGTGGTCTCTTGACTTGAGGGTTTCTCTTTTCTAGGGAGCTGAAGAAATTTGGTGAGGCCTTTGATGTCCATTAATGGCCAGAATTGACTCATTTGGTAGGTTTTCTAGGAAAAAGTTCTTAAGTTGTGAGAGGATGAAAGCAGACATATCAAGACTGCCTTTCCAGATGAGATCTACCAAATGCCCCGGAGTGATTCTCTCTGGAAGGCAGTCTTACAAAGGGGGAGGGGCATCGGGATAGCTTAAAGAGGCACTAGTGCTGAACTGTTTGGAAATCTGCAACGAAGAATCCTTTGTTGGTGTTGTGATTCCTTAAGCACTGACCTCAGACTCCCTGGGTTCCCAGGAGGGCACAATGGGGTCAAGATACTTTACGGCGTTCTCAGGTACTAGAGTGCCTGTCTGGATGGCAAGCCATGTCAATGGAGTGTAGGAGAGGTACTGTCTTTTGTGCTTTTGAGCTGGAAATGACTCCTCCAATAGGGGTTCTGCTGTGGCCAGATGAGTAACCTATAGTAGAGATGCATGTTAGTTTTCCAATCCTTAGGTCAAGACAGGCTCAAACCTCGGCTCGTGTGTAGTGGAGATCACCCAATAGACTTTAGATCCCAGGACTGTGTTTTTTGTGCCTGGAATCCTTTAGGGTGCCACTCTTTTGGAGAGGCCTCAGCCCGCAAGTGACATACCCCTTGAACAAACAATGAGATGGTTTTTCCTGTGCAGAGCGACATCATTGACTGTTGAATTATGGTGTGTTCCTTGAAGAGAGAGGGTCTGAGACTGGCAGCCAGCCTGAGATACAGATGCACAGGTAAAGAGAGTCGAGAATGAAAGCAGATGGAATGACAGAAGGATGCTAGTTTCAAATACAGACTGAGATCAAGGACAGATGAGTGAAAACGTAGGGTATGCCCAGACAGTATACCATCCCTTGGGAAGAATGCCAAAGAGGAATCTTTGGAGTGGCCTGCCCTGAGGTAAATGAGATGATTAGCAGGGCAGAGTGTTGTAGATTGCTGAAGACATGCCATAAAAAATAGTTGCCAAACATTGTTCTGAGATGAGGAGGGAGGACAAGATGGAGGAAGCCAGGGTGGACGAGGCTGTGTCGATGTGGCAGATAGGCAGGGGTGTGGGGGTCGTAGTGTGTCCAGTGGTCCTGGAAAGATCTGATAGCAGAACTGAGGTGGAAATAGCAGCACGAGTTTGACAGACTGTGTGTGGTCACTATGTCAGAGGTGGTTCTGAGCATTATCTTGAAGAGTGTGCTCACTACTGTCGAGGTAACTGGATGTGCGGTCCAGCATGAAATATTTTGGTTGACCGCAGAGTGGGGCAAATGAACTCACAAGAGCAAGGAGGAGCCGTTATCCCCTGCTGCAAAACTGTGCACTTTCTGATGAGCCATGCTGGAGTGCTCTTGGGCAGAGCAGGAGTGGGAGAGAGCAGAAGTGATCTGATTATCCCATGGAGACCAGGCAGGCCAACCTTTCCCAGAACCATGTGGACGGTTCCAACTGTAACGTTGGCATGTGATTTTTCATGTGTCCCCAGTGTTGAAATCATTGTGTGGCATGGCCGGAGTGCAGAGAGAGTTGCACCTCATCTTTAGCCTAGGCTGGAGGAAAGTGCCTGGGCCACCAGTGAAGTTTCATGGCTCTGGGGACACGAACGGGAAAGCACGGAGTTGAAGGTAAGCCTCCCAATCAGGGAACCATATGTTCAGGGAACGCGGGTCTTGGTGGTGCTGCTAGGACTAAGCGTTTGTGAACCCGGGCGTGTCTGCACCAGTACTAGCTTGAGGGTCTCAAGGTGCTGCCCTTTTGTGTACAGGGTCCCATTGAAACGAGTTTCTTCTGCCACCTTGGGGAATTTCTTGGTATTTCTTGCAGCCCACCAACACCCGCAGTGTCCTTGAGTGTCAGTGCTGAATATCTCTGTGCAAGTGCACCACAGCATGCGTGGATCGATGATGATTCCCAGTCAAACATTCCTTGGAAAAGCTGAACAAAATGAGTGAAAACTCAATACCGCCGCTCTCATCGGGACTGAGGTCCAGCAACTTGGGTCACCCAAGTCCTCCAGGAGTCAGACACAGGCTCAGGAACCACTCCATTGCTCCTGCCCGACTCCAGCAGTAGCCAGACTCCATAACCATGGCCTGGTTCTTTCCCCACTCTGCCAGCAATCTTGGCCATGGTAAAGACGGCACTAATCCTGCTCTCCTGGAACCATCCCTTGGTGTGGTTGACTAGAAATCTTGAGAGGCATTGGGTAGGGATGGCGTCTACTAGCAGTGGCCTTCAGCTGGGCTGCAGAGTTAGCAATTGGAGAGGAAGATCAGAAGCCCCTCTGATTTGCACTGCTCATAGCGGAAAACAGGTCCTGGGATGGGGCCACTTCAAGTCTTCGCAAGAAGAACAAATGCAGGGTTGCTGCTGAGTGGGACTGTGAATTGCATCCTGCAGGTTATTGTGCCCTGGGACGTGACTTCTTGTGGCAGGATAGTTGTGGTCTCTTGACTTGAGGGTTTCTCTTTTCTAGGGAGCTGAAGAAATTTGGTGAGGCCTTTGATGTCCATTAATGGCCAGAATTGACTCATTTGGTAGGTTTTCTAGGAAAAAGTTCTTAAGTTGTGAGAGGATGAAAGCAGACATATCAAGACTGCCTTTCCAGATGAGATCTACCAAATGCCCCGGAGTGATTCTCTCTGGAAGGCAGTCTTACAAAGGGGGACATCGGGATAGCTTAAAGAGGCACTAGTGCTGAACTGTTTGGAAATCTGCAACGAAGAATCCTTTGTTGGTGTTGTGATTCCTTAAGCACTGACCTCAGACTCCCTGGGTTCCCAGGAGGGCACAATGGGGTCAAGATACTTTACGGCGTTCTCAGGTACTAGAGTGCCTGTCTGGATGGCAAGCCATGTCAATGGAGTGTAGGAGAGGTACTGTCTTTTGTGCTTTTGAGCTGGAAATGACTCCTCCAATAGGGGTTCTGCTGTGGCCAGATGAGTAACCTATAGTAGAGATGCATGTTAGTTTTCCAATCCTTAGGTCAAGACAGGCTCAAACCTCGGCTCGTGTGTAGTGGAGATCACCCAATAGACTTTAGATCCCAGGACTGTGTTTTTTGTGCCTGGAATCCTTTAGGGTGCCACTCTTTTGGAGAGGCCTCAGCCCGCAAGTGACATACCCCTTGAACAAACAATGAGATGGTTTTTCCTGTGCAGAGCGACATCATTGACTGTTGAATTATGGTGTGTTCCTTGAGGGTCTGAGACTGGCAGCCAGCCTGAGATACAGATGCACAGGTAAAGAGAGTCGAGAATGAAAGCAGATGGAATGACAGAAGGATGCTAGTTTCAAATACAGACTGAGATCAAGGACAGATGAGTGAAAACGTAGGGTATGCCCAGACAGTATACCATCCCTTGGGAAGAATGCCAAAGAGGAATCTTTGGAGTGGCCTGCCCTGAGGTAATTGAGATGATTAGCAGGGCAGAGTGTTGTAGATTGCTGAAGACATGCCATAAAAAATAGTTGCCAAACATTGTTCTGAGATGAGGAGGGAGGACAAGATGGAGGAAGCCAGGGTGGACGAGGCTGTGTCGATGTGGCAGATAGGCAGGGGTGTGGGGGTCATAGTGTGTCCAGTGGTCCTGGAAAGATCTGATAGCAGAACTGAGGTGGAAATAGCAGCACGAGTTTGACAGACTGTGTGTGGTCACTATGTCAGAGGTGGTTCTGAGCATTATCTTGAAGAGTGTGCTCACTACTGTCGAGGTAACTGGATGTGCGGTCCAGCATGAAATATTTTGGTTGACCGCAGAGTGGGGCAAATGAACTCACAAGAGCAAGGAGGAGCCGTTATCCCCTGCTGCAAAACTGTGCACTTTCTGATGAGCCATGCTGGAGTGCTCTTGGGCAGAGCAGGAGTGGGAGAGAGCAGAAGTGATCTGATTATCCCATGGAGACCAGGCAGGCCAACCTTTCCCAGAACCATGTGGACGGTTCCAACTGTAACGTTGGCATGTGATTTTTCATGTGTCCCCAGTGTTGAAATCATTGTGTGGCATGGCCGGAGTGCAGAGAGAGTTGCACCTCATCTTTAGCCTAGGCTGGAGGAAAGTGCCTGGGCCACCAGTGAAGTTTCATGGCTCTGGGGACACGAACGGGAAAGCACGGAGTTGAAGGTAAGCCTCCCAATCAGGGAACCATATGTTCAGGGAACGCGGGTCTTGGTGGTGCTGCTAGGACTAAGCGTTTGTGAACCCGGGCGTGTCTGCACCAGTAGTAGCTTGAGGGTCTCAAGGTGCTGCCCTTTTGTGTACAGGGTCCCATTGAAACGAGTTTATTCTGCCACCTTGGGGAATTTCTTGGTATTTCTTGCAGCCCACCAACACCCGCAGTGTCCTTGAGTGTCAGTGCTGAATATCTCTGTGCAAGTGCACCACAGCATGCGTGGATCGATGATGATTCCCAGTCAAACATTCCTTGGAAAAGCTGAACAAAATGAGTGAAAACTCAATACCGCCGCTCTCATCGGGACTGAGGTCCAGCAACTTGGGTCACCCAAGTCCTCCAGGAGTCAGACACAGGCTCAGGAACCACTCCATTGCTCCTGCCCGACTCCAGCAGTAGCCAGACTCCATAACCATGGCCTGGTTCTTTCCCCACTCTGCCAGCAATCTTGGCCATGGTAAAGACGGCACTAATCCTGCTCTCCTGGAACCATCCCTTGGTGTGGTTGACTAGAAATCTTGAGAGGCATTGGGTAGGGATGGCGTCTACTAGCAGTGGCCTTCAGCTGGGCTGCAGAGTTAGCAATTGGAGAGGAAGATCAGAAGCCCCTCTGATTTGCACTGCTCATAGTGGAAAACAGGTCCTGGGATGGGGCCACTTCAAGTCTTCGCAAGAAGAACAAATGCAGGGTTGCTGCTGAGTGGGACTGTGAATTGCATCCTGCAGGTTATTGTGCCCTGGGACGTGACTTCTTGTGGCAGGATAGTTGTGGTCTCTTGACTTGAGGGTTTCTCTTTTCTAGGGAGCTGAAGAAATTTGGTGAGGCCTTTGATGTCCATTGATGGCCAGAATTGACTCATTTGGCAGGTTTTCTAGGAAAAAGTTCTTAAGTTGTGAGAGGATGAAAGCAGACATATCAAGACTGCCTTTCCAGATGAGATCTACCAAATGCCCCGGAGTGATTCTCTCTGGAAGGCAGTCTTACAAAGGGGGGCTATCGGGATAGCTTAAAGAGGCACTAGTGCTGAACTGTTTGGAAATCTGCAACGAAGAATCCTTTGTTGGTGTTGTGATTCCTTAAGCACTGACCTCAGACTCCCTGGGTTCCCAGGAGGGCACAATGGGGTCAAGATACTTTACGGCGTTCTCAGGTACTAGAGTGCCTGTCTGGATGGCAAGCCATGTCAATGGAGTGTAGGAGAGGTACTGTCTTTTGTGCTTTTGAGCTGGAAATGATTCCTCCTGGAGGAGGGGGGCTCTGTTATGGCCAGATCAGTAACCAATAGTAAAGATACACTTTAGTTTTCCAATCCTTAGATCAAGACTGCCTCTAACCTTGGCTAATGGGTAGTGGAGATCACCCAAAGGACGGTAGATTGCCAGGCCTGTCTTTGTGGTCCCTGTTAGTCTTGAGATGCCACTTCTCTTGGGAGACCTCAGCCTCTATGTGATTTACCCCTTGTGCTAACAATTGTGATTGTATTGTCCCTGTGCGTACATACTTCCCTGACGGTTGTGTTCCCGTGTGTCCACTGAAGATAGATGGTCTGAGACTGGCAGTCAACCAGAGAAGTAGACTGTCAGGTAAAGATAATGGGGAAAGGAAAGCAGATGGAGAAAAAGAAATAGACTTGGCAAAAATAGAGACTGAGTCCAAGGGACAGATTGCAGAAAAATATCAGGTATCCACAGACAGTTTGCCATCCCTTGGGAAGAAGACCAAAGAGCAATGTTTAGAGTGGCCTTCCCTGAGGCACTTGAGAGCAATGGCATAGGCGATTTTGCAGCATCCTGTAGCCAAACCATAAAAAATCGGATGTCAATCCTGGTTCTGAGTATTTATGATTAGAGAAGGACTAGGAATCCAAGAAGGACGAGGCTGAAGTGATGTCTTGGATGAACAGTAGGGTTCACAGTGTGTCGGGTTGTCATGGCCATAGCTGATGGCAGAATTGATGTTTAATTTGCAACCTGACCCCAGTGGACAGGGTTTATGGCACCACGATCTCAGAGGTGGGTCATAGCATTTTCTTGAAGGGTGTGCTCTTGGCTGTGGTGGTAACTGGATATGCTTTCTGGCCACACATTTGGTGGTTTAGTGCAGAGAGGGACGAACATCCTCTTAAAGTCCAAGGAAGGTACAAGAGCAAGGATAAGCTCTTATCCCTTGGTGTGAAACCATCTATGTTCTGATGAGCCATCCTGGAGTTTGTTGGCAGAGCAAGAGTGGGGATTGACCAGAAGTGACCTTATCATCCCATGGAGATCAGTAAGATCAACCGATCACAGAGCCAGGTGGACAGTTCCAACTGTAACAGTTAGATGTGCTTTTTTTCTGTGTTCTCAGTGTTGAAATCTGTGTCTTTCATATTCAGGGCTCAGAATGGATTGCTGAGCATCCTTTGTCCAGTGCTAGAGGCATGTGACTCTGCCTCCGGTGAAGTAACATGTCGCTGCGGACATTAATTGAAAAGGCCAGAAGATGAAGGTAAGCCTCCTGAGAAGGACACCATATGCTCAGGAATGTCGGTTCTTGGTGGTGCTTCTAGAACTATGCATTTGTGCACCCAGGTCTGTCTGCCCCCATAGCAGCATTAGGTCTTCAAGGTGCTGCCCATCCTGAACAGGGGCCCATTGAATGTTGTTCCCTCTGCCAGCCTGGGCAATTTTTTTGTATTTCTCTCAGCTTACCACCACACACACTGTACTTGAGTGTCAGTGCTGCATATCTCTGTGCAAGGGCACGGCAGAATGTGTGGATCGATGATGATTCTCAGTCAAACATTCCTTGGAAAAGCTGAACAAAATGAGTGAAAACTCAATACCGCCACTCTCATTGGGACTGAGGTCCAGCACCTTGGGTCACCCAAGTCCTCCGGGATTCAGTTAAAGGCTCGGGAACCACTCCACTGCTCTTGCCCGACTCCAGCAGTAGCCAGACTTCCTCATGATGGGCTGTTTTTTCCCCCACTTTGCTAGCCATCATGGCCATGGTGAAGACAGAATGCTTGCTGCTCATTGTGAACCTTCCCTTGTTCTTGTTGACTTGAAATCCTGAGATTCAGTTGGCAGTTGTGGTGTCTCCTAGCAGTGACCTTTATCCATGCTGCGGACTTAGCAGCTGGAGAGGAGGAACAGAGGCCTCTCTGGTTTGGACTTCCCATAGTGCATGACAGGCCCTGTGAGTGTGCCTCTTCAAGTCTTCTAGTGTGTTGTAACCCTGCAGTGTTGCTGCTGAGAGAGACTGTGACGTTCAGGCTGCAGTGGAATGTTCCCTAGGACATGGCTTATTGTGCCTTGGTGGGTGTGGTCTCTTACTTGAGGGGCTTCTTTCAGGGAGGTGAAGGTAGATGGTCATATTGTTTGTGTGGTTGGATGCCCAGAAGGTACTCATGAGTCGGGATTTACAGGAAAGCATTATCGTAAGGTGTGAGATGATGAGATGATGAAAGCAGACATATCTACACTGCCTTTCCAGTCTGAGAGCTAGCCAATTGCTCTGGAGTGGGTCATTCTGGAAGGCAGTCATAGAAACAGGAGACATCCAGATACCTGAATGAACCATGCATGCTAAACTGTGTTTACATAGGCACTGTTGAATCCTTTGGTGGTGTGGCGTTTCCTTAGGCAGTGACCTCAGACTTGCTGGCCTCCAAGTAGAGGGCAATGGGGCCAAGATACTTTTCAGTCACACAGGGTACTAAAGGGCCTGTCTGGATGGCAGTCCAGGTCAAAGGACTTTAGGACAGGTACTGTGTTTTATGTTCTTCTGCTGGTTGTGATTACTCTAGTTGGGTCTCTGTGGTGGGCAGCTCAGCATCATATTAGACAGATATCTTTAGGTGTGAGGCCTTTGTTCAGGACTGGCTCAAACCTCTGCTCATGTGCAGTTGAAATCACCCAACAGATTTTAGATTTACAAGTCTGTTATTTTGGTCACTTTTAGTCTTGTCAGTGCCAATCCTGTGGGGAACCTCAGCCCCCATGGGATTTACCCCTCGTGGAAATACTTGAGATTGTTTTGCCTATGCAGAACTACTTCGTGGATAGTTGGTTTAAGGTGTGTTTCCTGAAGACAGATGATCTGAGACCTGCAGTCATCTAGAGATACAGTCAGGGAAAGAGAATGGGGATAGGAAATTGGAGGGAGAAAGAGAAAATACTGGGAAAAAATAGAGGCAGAGACCAACGATTGAGAAACAATGTCGGGTATCCCGAAACAGTCTTTTGTCCCTTGGAAAGAAGGCCCAAGAGGAATCTTTAGAGTGGCCTGCTCTGAAGCATTTGCAATCATTGGCAGGGCAGAGTGTTGTAGATTTTTGTAGGTTTGCCTTATAAATAGAGATGCCAAGCCTGGTTCTAAGATGTTGATGTAGGAGGAGGGCTAGGAAGCTATGGAGGATGAGGCTTAGGTCAATGCTGTGGATGAGCAAGACGATTCCCAGTTGGTCAGGTGATCATTGCCAGAGCTGATGGCAGAATTGAGGTGAAAGTAACAAGCTGAGCCTGGTGGACGGTTTTTCTGGGGTGCCGTTCTCAGAGAGAGGTCTGAGCATTTTCTTGAAGAGTTTGCTTGCTGTTGTAGAGGTACCTGGATGTGCTGTCCAGCCAGAGTCTTCAGGGTGAAAACTCAGTATAGCTGTTCTAATCAGGACTTACAATCAACTTTTGTAGCCCTAGACAGACTACTTTCCCTTCAGAAGAAGTCCTAATGTTAATCTTTAGAATGATCTGCCCTGAAGGACTTCAGGTCTTTGCTAGGGCCTAATGTTGAAGATTCCTATTGCAATGCTGTAGAAAACTAGATCCCCACCTGCTGAAATAGGAGGAGAAGATTATCCCCTGGAAGACGAGTCTGAATCATATGCCAAGGATTGGAACGAGGGGTCATGGTTTGTCTTGTGATCATGGCCAGGACTAATGCCAGAATTGTGGTTGTTTATCATGTTTATCTTTGTCAACCGTTTTTCAGGATAACATTTTCAGATGTGGTCATGAGGGTTTTCTTGAAGAGTGTCCTCACTGCTGTCAAGGTCCCTGGATTTTGTGTCTGTCCAGAATGTGTGTTTTGAATACAGAGATGGACAGACATCCTCTTAATATCTAAGGATGGCCCCCATGCAAGGACAAGCTCTTATTTCCTGGTTGGAAACCGTGCAAGTTCTGCCAAGCCATGATGTAGGTTTTGGGCAGAGCAGGAGTGGGGCAATAGCCGAAGTTACCTGATCATCCTATGGAGACCATTCAGGCCAAACCCTCCCAGAGCCCGTTGCACACTATCCAATGTAATGGTGGAGTGGCATGTGCATTTTCATGTGTTCACAGCATAGATTTCTGTGTCCTGTCTTGTTGGAGTGAAGACATGATGACCCAGCATCCTTTTCAATTTGTAGGAGGCATGTGCCTGTGCTGTGTTGAAGTTACTTTGTCTTGGGGACATTCTTGAGAAGATCATAAGATGAAGGTAAGCCTCCCAAGAAGAGCTCCATATGGTCAGGAATCTCTTGCCAGTGCTGCTAGGACTAAGCATTTGTGCACCCGGGCCTGTCTGCACCTATAGGAGACTTAGGTACTCCAGCTGCTTCCTTTTTGCCTTTAGGAGCCTATTGCTGTGTATCCCATTCCCTGGCTCTGCCACTTCTTGGTATTTCTTGCAGGCTACCAATACATATTCTGTCTGAGTGTAAGTTCTAAACATGCCTGTGCCAGGGCACTGCTGGGTGCATAGATTGATGATAATACCTTGTCAAACAAAAACTTTAAGGTCACTTTCATACCCCTACATCCTAAAAAATTTGCAGCTTTCTGTAGCATTACTGACTACTCAGCCCTTTTAGAAGTGTTCGAAAATGAGCTTTTTGAATATTTTCTTCCCTTGTCAATACCAAAAAAATTTCACTGGAGATAAAATTCAAAGTACACCTTTCAGTTTAATTTTATAATTAACAATGATAATGTGCATCTTTCTTGTTAATTACCAATAAATGTTAGTTTTCCTGTTCATCCTACTTTTTTGTCCTTAACTGGCCTCAGGTTTTCTTTTCATTTCTCACTTTTGTAAACTTCACTATGAGTCTTTGTTGATTCTGCAGAAGACATTTTTGTTATGCTTCTTGTTGATTTTATTGTCTAATTTGCCTTTATTGAGTATAATATGTTTTGTCATCTCACCAATATTCCTTTTATCTCTTCTAATACCCTTCTTTTGATAATTCAAGCATATAAATGTAATCATATGCTGTTCCCTGAAGTTTTAATGGATACATACCCAATTCATTTTTTCTTTTGTTTAACTTTAGTAGTTTTATGTATTTATTCTTTGATAATTTCATACATTCTCTATCATTTTTATCCCATCATCCTTCCAACTCCCAGCCACATTTTTATGTATTTTTATTTTTGTTTGCTTGAGAACTTACTGAGTTGACTTGGGCAGGAATATGAAGATAATCATTAGGGCTTCAATAAATTGTGAGTGGTTACATCCCTGAAAATGATTACCTCCTCTCCTTTTGTAAAAGGATAAAACAATATTATTGTTTTTAAAATTACTTTTGATAATGATTAAGAAGATGACATGAGTATTTAAAAATCTGTTATAGAGAATCAATCATTCATTTTACTCAGTTTATTGAGTTCTTACCTTAGAACATGTAATAACTTCAATATTATTCTCAACTTAGATAAAAACATTTCCTTTTACAATATTTTTATAACTTCCTTTAGTCTTAACATTATTATTGATTTTACAAAATTCACAAAACATTTATATGAGGTAATTTTTTGTATTTTTAAATTTGAACAATTGTTTTCATACAATATTCTGATTATGGTTCTACTCCCCTATTTTCTTCAAGTTCCCTCCATTCCCCCACCCACCCAAATCAACATTGCTTTTTGTCTGTCTCTCTTTAGAATACAAACCCACATCTAAAATATAATAATAATGATATTAATAATAATTGTAATAATGATAATATTGCCAAGAAAACTGGAATAAAAAACAGTCAAATAAAATGAGTAAAAGTAGCACAAGAAACACATACAGACTCTAATACACAACCATGTACACATAGAGAATACCATAAAAACAAACTCAAATGATAATATATAGCAAAAGAATTATAATGTTAAAAATTTTCCTAGATGAAGCTTTGTGAGATTAATAAAACAAACACACAAAAAAAATAACAAAAAAAACCTTCCACAAAATACCATTGTGTTTGCTTTGAGTTGTTCATCTGGTGTTAGGCAGTTTAAAACGAAACTTTGGAGACTGCTGTATCTAAGAAGCAGACTCTAAGTATAGAATCTGTCTATAAGTTTTTTTTGCCTATTAAATGAGCAATAACATATAATGTTCTAAAGGACTGCTAGTTATAGTAACTAAAATTCAAATTAGATCATAGTTTTCCACAGCAGAACATGTATATAATTTAAAAAAGGAGCAGCAAAGGGCTGATATCAGAGGAAAGACTCTGTTCTGACTGGAAGAAGATAATTGTATCCAGGTACTTCTAAGTCATTTCTAAACTATGAAAACAAAGCTGTTGAGTTGCCACATATTATATTATGGTACATGTTGACTTTGAAAATGCTGGGAAAATATTCATTTCAAATTCCATTAGCATTTGAGTATCCCAAATAACTAAATGTTTTCTCACTCTTAATGATATTAAACTCTTTTACAATTACATTTTTATTGTTTATAATGTTTCATTTGAATTTTTTCTTCTCCTTTCTTTCTTCCCTTCCTTCCTTCATTCCTTCTTTCTTTCTTTTTTCTGAGACAGTCTTTTTACATAGACATGGCTTTCCTGTAGCTCAGTATGCATAGGCAAGGCTGTCATTGAACTCACAAAAATCTGCTTTCTGGGTGCTATGATTAAAAGTATGTGCTGCCACACCAAGCTTTTTACACTTGATACATTTCTAATTGATAAAATTGTATTAGTCTGTGTTTAGTGAAAGTGCAAATGAAGATATTATGTCTTTTCATTTAATCATTATTTGTTATGACTATTTGCTTACCACAATCCCTACCATATTTATTCAAAACAATTTAAGTGTTTAGAAGATTGAAAGTTTTTCAGTATCTTTATAAAAATGTATGTATGTCTATTTTCTAGTTATTAAATATAATCTTGATTAAACCAAAAATCTTGTGTTAGTATTATATTATCAAAGAGTTATTAATATAAGTACATACAAGAACAGCTGTTTTTAACCAGAAATAAATTATTGTTTATTAAAATTTAAGTTATTATGATGAGCACATGCAAACTGTTTTTATTAGAAAAATATTTTCCCGGATGGGCAGTGGTGGCACACGCTTGGGAGGGAGAGGCAGGTGGATTTCTATGAGTTCGAGGCCAGGCTGGACCAACAGTCTCGAAAACAATACAGAGAATCCCTGTCTTGTAAAACCAAAAAAAAAAAAAAGAAAAAGAAAAAATATTTTCCCACTTTTCAGATGGTAACAGGCAGGCAAGTGGAGTAGAATAAGACATATACAGTAAGACGAAATTTGACATTATTTTTCAACATAAATAGGAGTAATTTTGAAGTATCATATTATGATTACAATTCTAAGATATCTTTGTAAGTCTTAAAACAAGTTTTTATAAAATGACATTAAAATATTTAGAGTTGTCTTTTGTGTAGGTTAGTCTAAGATATGGATCTTGAAAAACCCATTTGTCTGTCTTAAACATTGCAATAGTAATAAAAAAATCCTTAAAAGTGGGTACTAGGGGTACACGTCTTTAATCCCAGGGTGGCAGAAGTCGGCTGTTATCTATTATTTCAAGGTCAGCCTGGTCTGCAGAGTGAGTTCCGGGACAGCCAATTTTATAGAACGATAACCCTTTCTAAAAATAAACAGAGGAAAAAAGGAAAATGCCAAAACTCCTTAAAATAAATTTTAAATATTTATATTTACACACACATGCACACACACACACACATGCACACTATCTAAAGTTGAAGACAGACATATGTTATCCTCTTAATGTTTGGAAAAAACAATTCAATATCTTGAAGGATGTTCATAGTTCAATGAAAGAAAAATACAACCTAGATATCCTAGAGTAAGAACAGTATTTTCTTAGTTAATTTGTATTCTTAATCAACAGGGATATTGGGAATCAGAACTGAGATGGGGCAAAAAATAATTGTTTTTACTAAAATTGTTTGATTATATATAATGTTCTTAAAACTCAGGATTTTAAAACTTGCAGTTACTGAAACGGGTGTCAGTTGTTCTAAGAAATATCTAGGATCATCAGTCATCTCTGTTTTAACTAAATAGTTACACTGGTTAAATATGTTCTTTTTGCCCCTTGACCCTTAAAATTTTACTTTCATGATGAACAAAAGGATGCTGGGTCATTCAAGTTGGTACTATGTAATTATATAAAAAAGTAATCATATATAGAAATAGTACAGATATACACATAACCATCCATAATATATATTTGGCATATATATGTATATGTATATATATAACAATATTGCATGTAGTGATATCTTGTTTGTAAAAATGAAATGTCTGAAGATCAGACAGTGAGGCTTGCCATTAGCTAACAGACAGACAAGAAATAAGATGGCTGGACAGAGAGAAGAATATAGGCTGGAGGAACCACAAAATTGCTCTCTTTTTGGCCAGGAAGTTGAATATGTAAGGTGGTTGTTGTTTTCCTCCTTCATCTCTCTGATCTCTCAGAATTTCCCCCTATAACTGACTCTTGGCATTTATTATTAGAACTCACATTACATCTGTGTGTTTTGGGTCAGGCTTACTTGATGCTTTTGGGATTGATTATCTCTGCTTTTACTGTATGACCATCTTTTGCCATTGAGTCTTAGGGTTATCCACCATGTTTATATAAACATGAGAATATGCAACATACTGGGTAACTCATCACTCAAATGTTTCCCTGGTGAGATAATAAAGTTTCTTCTGACCCAGGGACACAGAATGTTTGCTGAATTTTCTATGAGACCTGCACATCCTAGGATGACAACCCTTCTGACACATCTACCCATTTAGGTATGAAGGAACAAGTGCCTCTCATCTTTGGTATTTTTATTATCAGGTGCACACAGAACTCTTAAAACAAAGTCCTGTTGAAGTCAAAAGAGACTCCAGGAAAATGCAGAATTTGATACTGAAGGAGAGTCAGGAGGCAAAGGCTAAGTGATAACATATCAAAACATTTCACACACACACACACACACATACACACAATACACACACACACACACACACACACACAAAATCAAGCAAACCAAAAGAAAAAGTAATTCTGAGACAGGCAAAATGTCTTCAGAGTGTCTAAGTGAACAAAATAAATGCCTTTGGGGATATGAAAGCAAGCAAGCAAACAAAATGAAACCAAAATGTTTAGAAAAATATGCTGTCACAGCAAATAAACTAGATAACTTAAACCAAAGTCATGGATTAATGCCGTTAATGATGAATTTCTAGTCACGAATGATGCATTTGTGTCACATTAAGGGGAATAAAAAAGCATTTCCCCTTGGAGTCATTTAACCCAGAATGAGTCAAGATTTGAATTCTGTACTTCACACTTCCTGAGTGTTACCTCGTTCATCTATTGTATGATTCTGAATCAGTGCCTGTATGTAGGCTATCTTGTGGATCTGTAATGGTCTATGTCTTATGTCTATGTGTGACCGTGTGTGTGTGTGTGTGTGTGCACGTGTGTCTGTGTATGTTTATCTGCATGTCACACTCTGTGTCAGTGTTAGAATGTGTATGTTTTGTGTGTCTGTGTATCTTTCCCCAAAAGTCGACAGTTTTCTCTTCACTGGACAGCATAGGGTGCATTAAATATGGAATGGATGGGATAATTTACAAAAATATTTAAGAATTTTACAAAGGATGAGTTCACTGGTTCCAACTGACGCTAACTGACCAAGACAACAAACATACATACAAACATCATTGTTTATCAAACAATGTACCCAAATGAATAATTATTTTAAAAGCTCGCTTTCAATTTCTGTGTTTGCCTTACATTACTATCTAGGGGTCTTTACCATGTTCTTTTAATCCTATCAGTTAAAGGAGTCAAATGAAGAAAGATGCCTCAAAAGGTAGCAGAAAAGAACAAGAGTAAACAAAATATAGGTGAAGACACACACAAATGAAGAAGACTAACCATCCACAAAAGGAAAAATCCACTCTCATTTAGAAGACTGGTGTTATGTTGCTGAAGGTTCTCCCTCCTCTAATTGAGAATTTGTTGGTTTGAGGAAAGATACAATGGCTAAATGGTCTGCAATTGTTATACAAGCATGGCTTGATGTGACCCCAAAGTTTTTAAGTCAGTTCATCATCAGGGAGTAACTGGCAGGTGAAAATGCTTACAAGACTTTTGTGTTAACTTGCCAGGGTTTTGCCTCAGGTCAGAAGGGTGAGGAAGAACCCTGGAAATTCAACAACTGTATTATTTATATATTGCCCCACTCCTTATCTGTCTGCCTCCCTGGGCATTTGTGTAATACCTACTCTCAATTTCAGCAAAATATATACATGCATTATCTGGGTCAAGGGTAGAGAAGGTTTAAGCAAATAGGCTGAATACATAGTAGGATAGCATGCTTGATTGTATTGTTAACCTTGAATGAGAGGCTCAGCAAATGACCCATTCCTTTAGAATTTAAGTGGCATTTTTTTCATAATGTATCTTCACTTTAAATATTTTGGAAGGAGTTAAAAAAGGACATCTATCAAATTAGGATCCTACATAAAATGCCTTTAACCAAACTAAGGGTGGTTCGAGAGCCTCAGAAAGAACACAAAAACAATCCACATGAGGAAATAACACCAGATGGCCTAAATTCAGTGAGTCCACATAGGTTCCTGGCTTCCAATCAAATGATTCATGCAGAAGAAACACAGAACCATTTTGGAGTCCTAACTTGTAGCCCAACACTTCTTGAGCCCTTTGCTTTAGCACCTTGCACACTTGGGAGTGATCGTGATCAACCAATGAATTCTGTTCTTATTGCTAAACATGTGACCCTGGAACAGCTCTAGCAAAAACTGATGCTCCCTGATCATGGACGAGTACCAAATGCCATAGGGAGGGAAAGAATCACTGATCTCTTAAATGGAGTGCCTCAGAGTTTCGGCAGTCCTCTCCAAGGTAGCTTGGAGAGCTACCTTGCTATTTATAAGAGCTTCAGGGAAATTGAAATGAGAAGGAAGGAAGATATACTGGCATCATGTTTGTCCTTGTTCTTGAAAAGGAGAGATCTGAGTGTACTTTGTGCCCTTCTCATTCATAGTTATTAGAGATTCCAGATATAAATCTTAGCTCCTGACTTGATATCAGGAGATAATAATTACTTATTATTTATTGCTGTAGTTCTGACTTTAGAGGTCACCTGATGGAATTTCTAGTTTCTTGGATTCCCAAAACAAGGAAATGTACCAAGGGCATGTATCTAGTTATTAAGAGGAAAAAGCACTCACCAGAGTAGAATTAGGTCAGAGATTTGGGAAATAGGAGAAACTTATTTAAAGTTCATTTATATTTTTTCAAGTACATTCTCTGTTGACTACATTCATGTTGGTGTCAGTCTTTCTAAAAACTGGCAATTTTTATGTTAATTTTAATGAAACTTTCCTCATTGGTGCCGCTACCCCTTTCTTTTCATTTGTTGTTTTATACTTTGGCTAGGTAAGGTTGTAAATAACTCTATAGTCCTTGTCAAGGTACAGTACTGTCCATTTTCCTGAAAATGAATTTGGTCCTTTGACTTCCAGCAGGAATTTCAGATTTTTCTACTTGCATCAGTAGGGTCATGGGAAAATTCACATTTCTTTCTTTGTATTCTTCTTTTATACATTACATCTTGACCAGTTTCACCTCGAACCATTTCTCCCAGTCCCTCTAACCTTTTCCATCAGATCCAGTGCTCCTTCACTTCCCTTCATAAAAGAGCAGACCCTCCAGGTGTAGAAAACAAACACAGCATAATAAGTTCAAATAAGACCAGGCACAAACCTCATAACAATACAACACAAAGCAACCTGGTAGGAGGAAAAATGTCCGGACTCAGGCAAGAATCAGATATATCCTCCATTCCCATTGTTTCGAGTTGCACAGGAACTCCAACCTTTGCAAACATAACATACTGAGCCTCTGTGATTCTCAATTCAGACTCTGTGAGTCCGTATGTGCCTTGCTTAGTTGATATTGTGGGCCATGTTCTTATGGGATCCTTGACCCACCTGGCTCCTCTCCCTCTTCTGTAGGGCTGCTCAAGTCCCACATAATGATTTTGGAAATGCCTTACATAACTTTGTGTTTAATAGTCCTATTGCCAATGGACTCTCAGCACAATTGTCTGATATACAGTGACTTGTTGCCCGCTAAGTTCTCCCTACTCTCACCAAAGTGATCTACACTGTTAGTTACTGAAATTAACAAGAAAATTGCAATAAAAAACACAACTTAATAGGAGGAGATTTTGCATGATTCTTGTGGAAACACAAAAGGCATATACATTCAAATCAACCTTTATGTAATTGAAAACTAGACAAGTCATATATTGTTGATTTTACAGGATGAGAATAGGAACACTACCACAAATTTTGAGTGAAATTTGAAGTAAGCTCTATTAAATATTGGTCAGAAGATAGACATTGGCCAGGTCCATGTCTATAATTACCAAAGAATGGCCAGGAATTATGTTATGTGCTGATAAAGACAAAACCCATAAGACTACATATTTCCAATCTGGTGCAGGCATACATCCTGATGTTTTTTTCTGCCTACCTACCTCCCACCTGTGTATGATCAAGCATTTCCTGTGCTGTTGATGCCAAAAACATTGTTTATAGAAATGGAACCTTATGACTGACTTGTTTGTTACCTTTTATGAACTTCCCAGCATTCTAGAAATTTATATGTCCTTAGCAAGTAGGGTTTACGTGTTAGAAGCATTATTGTTTCATATATCTCTTAAGCACAGTAATTTAAACTTTAAACAACTTTAGCCCTCACAGTTTCTTGATTTCAAATATACTAAAAGATAATCCAAATAACCTAAGAGCAGGCACACCAGCCAGTGACACAGAAATATTGCCAAGTAACTTTTACTTTGGTTTCAAAAGAGACACTAGTAAATCAGTGCTGTTGAGAAACTAGGTATCCATTTGCAATATATTGAAGTAATACACTTGTTTCATACTGTGTGTGAAATAAATTTAATGAATTAAAACTTTAAAGGTAAACTTGAACCTGTAAAATTACTGAAAGAAAACAAGAGTAAAATGTGACTTCCCAAACAAGAAAAACAAAAGCAAACAACAACAAAATGACATACAAATAGTATAACCCAAATCTATAAAACTTCTTCATAGCAACATATGTAATGTTCAGAATGAAGAAACAGTCTACAGAATAAAAAAATTATAAACCATTTGTCTGATAAGGTTTGGTTAGCTATGTATAAGGTATTAGACAACTAAAATATGATAAAGTGATTTAAAAATGAAAAGAAGATATAGATTAAATCATAGTCAGCAAACATATGGACAGACAATGTAAATCAAAAATTGAGCTAAATACTACTTCAATTGTATTTGAATGACTCTTATCAAATACAGAAAAAAATAGGAAGAGTTACTGAGGATGCGAAATTTGTTGGGGTATTTAAGTCAAGTATTGAAAGACAGAAGGCAGAAAGAAAGGCTTAGTCTGACCTTAGGCGGGATCATGTTTATTCAAGGCAAAGGGACATCTTTCACCCACATGTGTAGATGGCCACATCTTTTATCATGAAACTATCTAAGACAAGGAAAAGTTACATGTATTACATGTATTTATATGGTAGGAATTTAAATGAATGCAGTCATTATGAAAAGTAGCATGGATTCAGCCTAAAAATATCAATGTATATCTACCATGTGTTCAGCAAATCCATTCTTCAAGATATATTTACAGCCAATGAAATTGGTATATTGAAGAAGTACTGAAATCTCATTTACTTCAGACTCATTCACAATTATAACACAGACACAACCTAACTATCCATTGGGAAATGAATAGCTAATTAAGACAATTATTATGCCTATACAGCTTATTTGGGTCTATTATTTGTACTGGTCCTTTTTCTTACATCTAATGCATATGTGATTTTCTACCGCTTCAGTTGTTTCAAGAGAATGCAATACTGGCTAAAGTAGTGTTAGCATGACTTTTAAAATCTTTATGCAACAAACACAATGCTTAATCTGAGGGTGGTTGTCACCAGTTGATTGACTTCTTAGTCTATTCATGGTTTTTCTTGAATTTTTCTTGTGCATATTCTATTCATGATGTTTCTTGGACTTATAATTTTTCTAGGTATTATTTAGTAGATGGCATGTTGTTTTCTTGTTAGTTTTTAGTATTAGGGAATTCAGATCCCACATATATGTATTCAGTGAATGTTTGAATAAGAATTGTTCCCTGTGGGTTACATATATTTGAACACTTGGTGGTGCTGGTGCTGTTTGAGAGGGGTTTCTAGAATCTTTGGATGTGGATTTCTGTTGGAAGTGCAATTTGAGAGTTTATGGCCTCTCTATATCTCCACTTTTCTCTCTCTGACTTGTGATTGTAGTTGAGGATATGATCTCTCAGCTCCTAGCTACAAGTGACTGCTGTCATGCCTCCGCTATCAGTAAGATCTTTTCTTCTGAACCATAAGCCAAAACAATCTCCTTACACTATAAGGTGCTACTGATCATGCCATTTTTTTACAGAAAAAATTACTTTATTTATCTGGTGTTCCTATAGCGATATGTGAGATCAAATAGTTATACATGACTTGGATGACTTTCCCCTGTAAATAAAGTAGAAAATAAAGAACATAGGAGTGAAGAGAACCTACCAAATGGTCTCACCAAATGTATCAAAAAGGCTCCAGATAATGCCAACAGTAAAGAGAGTCCTATTCAGTTTGAACAGTTAGAGAATGTAATGTACATATTCCCTCAATTTTTCTCTGTTATTGCATCTCAACATGAATTTATCATTGAGAAGTACAGAGAAGTGATAGTGAATATAATCAGGTAATACAAAACTTAAAGGTTAAGTGGGAACCATCATAAGGTATAAAATCTCTATGATATTATTGATTCTTTTCAGAAAACCACAGCACTACCTGTGAAAGGGAGCCATGAGTCTGGTCATCAACTATGACATGACTCATGGTCTGCCAGATATATTAAGTTAAAGGTCACTTTTAATAATACTATTACTGACAATGTGTACTATCAGAAATAGTTCTTGGAATCTGAACAAATTGGGTGAGTCCTTAAAGTACCTTATTATTCAATATTAGATTTAAATCAATTTTCTTAACTTTGTTAAGACCACTTGTGTGTATGGTCCAAACTGTTACCAAAGTTGCATGTATTTCCTATGGTCATGATAGTACAGGCTGACTTTTATTACCTGAACCAGCTTCTTTTTCTGAGAAAGAACACAGTGACATACTCTAGTGGTAAACTTTAACTGTTTATAACTATTTCCTCTTGTAATATGAAGTTTTCTTGATTAAGTGTGTTCTGCCAGCATTCTTTGCCCCAAAGAAATTCATGGAAGCTATATTAATTAAGAAACTGTTGACTAGTGTTGCACATTTCTTATTGGATAGCTCTGACTTAATTATTAACCCATAACCACTAATCAATGTATTTCCATGTGGTCTTAGCTTATCGGGAATGCCACACCTGCAACTCCTTTGCCTACTGCATCTCCACAGAGGAGAGATTAATTTCCTTTTTGACCCTGCTTATATAATGTTACTGCCCAGCTATGTCACTTCCTGCCTCTGTACAGACCTCCTGACTATGGTTAGCTAGCGGCAGTTTCTGCCCAGCTACATCACTTTCTGGGATCACATGATGATTCCTCTGCCTACATTTCCCACAATCCCCCTGATAACATAGCTCCACCTATCTTTCTGCCCTATTGTCCAAGAGTGCTTTATTAATCAACCAATAAGACAAACATATACACAAAGAACATTCCCCAACATCTCCTCTTTTCTGCCTAAATAAAAAGAAGGGTTTTAACTTTAACATAGTAAAATTTATCACAAAACAGTTATCGGGTAAGAATTATATTTAGTCCATTAATATTTAGCATGATTTATAGAAAATATTCTATCTTCTATCCTATCTTTGTGAGTCTAAAGTCTTATATATAACTTATATATTATCATAACTAATGGAACCATAACCACAACTCTCTATCTTCAACTCCATCAAAGACCACAGAAGGATAATATATAAACTCTAGAATTGACAGAGACATCTCACTGCCTGGACAGTGACCCAAAGCTCCTTTATAATGTTGAGACATCTATCTTCAGCCTACACATCATAGTGTGTCTGATAGACTTCTCAGCAAAGCAGAATATTTGAAACTGTCCTCCTGCATTGTCAGTTTGTCAGTCATTTTTTCAGTGTCCTGATGAATGTCTGGCAGACACTTTAATGAAGCAGGAACCCTTCAGGACGGTCCTTCTTGATTTGCAAGTTCAGCAGTCACTTTCCTATAGGTCCTGCTTGTCCAGTTTATACAGCAATAGCCAAACAGTCTAGGCAAGAGCAGTTTCTTGCCCAATGGCTAGTCTCACCATATTGAAAGCAAATTCCATAACAAGTTTCTTCGATGCCCATCTTACTCTCAGATAAAATTGGCATTACCAGGAGCAGTTATGTCTCACTGTCATGAAAAACCCTAAACTATTTTAAATGACGTATTATGCAGGTCTTTGAAAGGATTTAAGAATATCTATCCATTTGAAATATCATTTTAAATCTAGAAAATCTAATTAAAATAAGTTTTGACTATTATAGGTGACCTTATATAATCTGTATTTAGTAATACATCACATTTTTAAAAGAACTGTATAAACACAATGCCTGAACAAGAGGAGAAAATCACATAACACAAAATTGGTATCAATAAATGAAAATCCATTGCAATACAAAGTATTCATTTCTATAACATAATTTTTCTTTTTCTTTAAAAATAGTTTGGCTGTGATACTTAACCATTTATAACCAATCCCATTTAAGTAAAAACAAACATTTATAAAAATTGTTTGTGATTGTGTGTGTCATTTTCTCAAAACTTCTTCCTGCAGTTTGGGGGCACTATTTTGGGAATCTGAAGAAGACCCAGAAATCCTGGCTGTAGTGGTCTGTGACTATATAATCTCAGAAGTTTTTGGATTTTGTATCACCTGGGCCACTTCTTCAGGGGTGTCTTTCTTGAACAAACAATATTAGTCTGGTAGGATCGATAGCTTTTCATTTTCTGTGGAAACAAGAACAGAAACTCTTTTCACATGTATCCTGTCCTTATACTTAAATTTTGAAGTCAAAGCATTTTTAAAATATATAACTTGAATTAATCCAGTAGCTTTTCTTTTAGTAATTGTTGCTTCTTCCTCAGAAATCAAAATTTTCAGAGATAACACAATAACATAAAGTATGCAGATGCTGTCTTTTCCATCTATCTATCTCTCTCTCTCTCTATCTATCTATCTATCTATCTATCTATCTATCTATCTATCATCTATTTATTATTCTATTTCTTTCACTTTTATTTTTTTCATTTCTTGAGACAGTTTTCATTTCTTGGGAAGTTTACCACCCCAGCTCACAACCTTTCCTGTGCTTTATGGATGAAATGATGTTGTTAAGAAGGGGTATGGTACTCCTTGGAAATCTTACCTTGAAGCTAAAATGTAGCAAGCTTTGAGGTAAACAGTGGTTATAGAAGATTTGTTTCTTTCTCCATTTAGAGGCAATAATTTCATTGTGTTATGCAATGCCTTATTTTCAATTCTTGATTAAAGAAATATGTCTGTATAGTTCCTTTGGAATAAATACTTATGTATCTTTATGTAGAATGATATATACACTTTATACACTTATGAAGTTATCTGGCCAGGTTTTCCATCCATGTATGTTTTGGTAAGAATTTCCAGGACCAAATAACTTGTATTTAATATATAACCACATATTTACAGTAATGTGCTACTACACTAGCCCTTAATGATTTCAAAACTCTGTTGAAGAGAATGCATTATGAATTTAAACTATCAAAGAATTATTTATGCTAAGTTTGCAAGATGCTTTCCTTTTGGTAATAATTTAAACAAGTAGAGATATGGCAATTGTCTTATTGCTCAATTCATACTTCTTTCCTTCTAAATGTCTGTAATTTCTTTCTCAAATAGATACATATGAAGTTTAACAAACACACTTCTCTAATACTCTGATATAATCTCAATGCTGTGTTCCTGTGAATATATATGTAAACACTTAACCTAAGGTCCTCCAGCAAAGTTCCCCTTGATCTAGAACTACTTCCTTGGCTCCTCTACCATCATATGGCCCTCTCCAATTTTCTTAAGCTAATACACTGTTTATTAATTCGTATTTTCAATAGACAATGCATTCAAGCATATATGTAGGACTGTGATTACTCTTGAAACATTCTTAAAATAGATGGGACTTGAACTCTTAAGTTTATTTGATTGTATTATAGTAAGTCAGTGCAAGGGATTCAGTTCTATGTCCTTACATTTACACACCAGAACATCTTTGGTAATTAATAGTTTGCTTCCAATCCTCAGAATCTTCACAGGTAATTATAGACCAAGACTTTCTTGGTTGAAGGATTTAGATGAAAGTATATTAACGACAATGGAGTTTTGTGACAAAGTATATAGCAGGTAACTTTGAACAGAAAATTTATATGTGATATGTGTGTTTGTTTACTGTATATAATTGGTCTTTTGACAATTTGAATCATGTATGTAATACATTGTGGTCACACTCAACCTACTCTAATCTCGTATTCACCTCCTCAAAATCTCCTCTTCCAAGATGTCCCCCTCTCATTATTATACCTTTTAGAATTTTGGATTTATTTTATAACCAACTGAATTTAACCAGAGTTATGTGTATGACCATGAATGTAGAGCTATCCAATGGAGAGTGGATGACTCACTAGTTATTCCAGCACTGAAGATGTAAAAGTGTTTCCCTTAGAAGCCATCTATTGCTAATACTTCCCCAGAGAGCTGCCAGACTTCATGAGCCTCTCCGTGACTGAATGTCTTCTGCAGGTTCTGCATCGGTAACACAATTTTTCATTTATCCATTAGATAATAATTGTGTAATCAAATGTTTGTCATTTTGACCGAGATTTTTCTAATTACATTGATATTATAAAGAACTAATTTTGATCCATTTGGACTTAAGTTTTGTGCATGGCGATAAACATAGATCGATCTGCATTCTTCTACATACCAGTCTCCAATTATGCCAGCACCATTTGTTGAAGATGGTTTCTTTGTTCCATTGTATATTTTTAGCTTCTTTGTCAAAGATCAGATGTTTGTACGTGTGTGGGTTAATACCCGGATTTTCAATTCGATTCCATTGGTCTACCTGTCTATTTTTGTGCCAATACCAAGCTGTTTTCAGGACTATAGCTCTTTAATAGAGCTTGAGGTCAGGGATGGTGATGCCTCCAGACGTTGCCTTGTTGAACAGGGTTGTTTTGGCTATCCTGGGTCTTTTGTTTTTCCATACAAAATTGATAAATCCAGCCACACTGAACCTCTTAGAAGAGAAAGTGGGTGGTACCCTTGAACGAATTGGTACAGGAGACAGCTTCCTGAACATAACACCAGTAGCACAGACAGTGAGATCAACAATTAATAAATGGGACCTACTGAGACTGAGAAGCTTCTGTAAGGCAAAGGACACAGTCAGCAAGACAAAAAGGCAGCCCACAGAATGGGAAAAATATTCACTAATCCCACATCTGACAGAGGGTTGTTCTCCAAAATTTACAAAGAACTCAAGAAGCAAACCTCCAAAACACCAAAGGACCCTATTAAAAAGTGGGCTGCAGAACTAAATAGAGAGTTTTCAATAGAGGACTCTAAAATGGCTGAGAGGCACTTGAGAAAGTGCTCAACATCCTTTGCCATCCGGGAAATGCAATTCAAAACAACTCTCAGATACCATCTCACTCCTGTCAGAATGGCTAAAATCAAAAACACCAATGACAATTTATGCTGGAGAGGATGTGGTGAAAGGGGGACATTCCTCCATTGCTGGTGAGAGTGCCAACTGGTTCAGCCACTTTGGAAATAAGTATGGAGATTCCTCAGAAAAATGGGAATAAACCTACCACAAGACCCAGCAACTCCACTCTTAGGCATATATCCAAAAGATGCCCATTCTTACAACAAAGATGTCTGTTCCACTATGTTCATAGCAGCTTTATTTGTAATTGCCAGAACTTGGAAGCAACCTAGATGTCCCTCACCTGAAGAGTGGATAGAGAAAACGTGGTACATCTACACAATGGTGTACTATTCAGCAGAAAAAAATAATGGAATCATGAGATTCGCAGGCGAATGGAATGGATGACACTAGAAGAAACTATCCTGAGTGAGGTAACCCAGTCACAAAAAGAGAAACATGGCATGTACTCTCTCATATATGGATTTTAGACATAGAACTGGGGAGTGCCAGCCTACAATCCTATGGCCAGAGAGTCTGGGAAACAGAAACCTCATTTACTGGCTGATCGAAGAAGAGGCAGACTCCCTTGGTTAAGTACTGAGCTGAACTCAAGAAAGCCAGTAACAGAGAGGGAGGACTGATGATCAAAGGGATTAAGACTGGGCTGGTTTAACCCCCCAGAAGCAGCTGACCAGACAAAGGTTAACTCTTGAATCCCAGGCATTAGCCTGGGAATCCAGCATGGGACTGATCAAGACCCCCTGAATCTGGGTGTCAGTGAAGAGGCCTAGGGAATCTATTGAGCCTTGGGCAGCCGATCAGTACCCATCCCAAGTATACACACGGACTTTCGACTCCCATAGAACAACGTGAGGTGCACTCTCACCTTGAACTCTTGGGGAAGGGTCTAGGCCCTGCCCTATACGAAATGACAGACTATGAACACCCCCATGGAGGAGCTCACCCTCCCTGGGGAAATGAGGGGATAACGGGGGGGGTTGGGGGGAGGGCACGGGAGGAAGGGAGGGAATGGGAGAGGGACCTGGAACTGACTTGTGAAGCAACCTTGCTTCTTATCTAAATTCAAACTGGAAAATAAAATTAAAAAAAAATAAAAATAAATAAAAAAGAACTAATTTTACATTGCCCACTTTATTCAATATAATCAACAACAATATTTAAAAATATATAGTTAGGTATTGCAGAGATGCCTCAGTAGTTAAGAGCACTTGCTATTCTCCAATATAATCCAAGCTTGGGATCACATTACCCACACGTGGCTGTTCCCTACTGCTTGTTGTTCCAGCTCCAGGAGATCTTATGTGTCTGGCACTGTGTGCCCACATGCAGACAAACAGATTTACATAAAACATCAAAAGTAAAATAAATATTTCCAATAAAGAATGCTTAGGACATTCAATATTGTTTTGAGGTGAATTTTAAACTATTTTTGATCATGTAATTTAATTTAATCCATTTTATGTAGGTATTTAGATGTGGTTGGCCTAGTATAGTATCCACAGACTAGTTTTGCTAATACAGTAGATTTAGGTTGCGAAAATAATACTTAGAGGTAACAATGAAGCTAATAGGAGAGATAAATTTATCCACTGATTATCACTGGGTATTTTCAAAAGTAATACTAGATGAAAGATTCAATGCAGTACCTGGTCTAGCAGCACCTACCCTTTGTAGAACTTTTCACTATGTTGAAATCAATGTGCATCTTCTAAGTGTGGCTAACACAAATGAGTGGGTAGATTGTTGTCTTAGGGTTTTTATTGCTCTTTAGAGTAACTATGACCATGACAGCTCTCACAAATGAAAATATTTAATTGTTGTGGCAGTCTTACACTTAAATGGTCTAGTCCATTATCATGAAGCAAAGCTAGGCATCATGTAGGCAGAGATGTTGCAGGAGAAGTTGCTGAGAATTCTGATATATTGACCTACAAGTAGCAGAAAGTACTATGAGACACTGGGTAAGGCTTAAGTATATATGAGACTTCAAAGTCAGGCTCCGCAGTGAAACACATCCTCCAACAAGCTCACATATAGTCCAAAAACCCACACCTCCTAATAGTGCAACTCTTTATGAGCTTATGGGTGTCACTTACATTTGTACTACGACAGTGATATTGTATGTTTACAGCAAAAAATGACATAGCATATGTATTACCATTCCAAATGTGATTAAAAGAAATAACTCAGAACACTATGAGGAAATAATGGACCAAAGCAAGACCAAAAAGACCAAAACCAGATAATAATTAGACTGTCAGCACTATGTAAGATCACCCTCAAGGAGCACATATATTTCAAACAGGACTCTATAAGAGGACCATTATGCAGTAAAACAAGAACAGTTTTTCTCCACATAGTACTTCATTATTGCCTTGGCTTCCACAGAGAGGGGGTCTTAGGTTAGGCTACCTGTGCAGTGACATCTTATTCTGGCTTGTTTTGTTCTCTTGGATAGCATTCTTAGAGATAGAGCTGGCAGGGTATGTCCAAGAGGTATGTTTTCTGTGTAACATGCTAACTTGCTCAGTTCATGTAGGAGAAGCTAATAATATCCAGACCTAGTTCATTGCTCCTTTAGTTTGACTAAAGAATTCCAGGGTAATGGAATTTGATAGTGATAGTGGTCTCCTATTTTCCTAGGCATATACATGAAATTTTTCCCATAGGGATGATCTTGTTACAACGAGTTAAGTTGGAAACACATTTTGCAAACTGGAACTATTAGGAGTCTTTCTTACATTTTAGTTGACATTAAAAGACCATGTTTTTCACTGTTTTGTGTACAGTGGTATCATTTTTAAGAACTTTTGTTTCATTCAAACATAAATACAGTTATCTTACTAACATAATGATTACATGGTCTTTGTCCACTTGACAGGGTACTGTCTGTGTATCTTTGGATGTATGACAGAGGATTCAGCCAACATTTTACTTTCAAATCTACACATGGCACAACATACTCATATTTCATGGATGTTTTATTAGAATAAAAGAGAGAGCATAATTTTGTTATTGTTATATGTTATTGTTCCTTGTTTTTCTTGTTGGATGATGATACACTCCAGAAAGAAAAGGTGGTTAGTGTCCTGACCTTAACTCTAGGAAACTTCTTTAAGCCAATGGTTCTCTACCATATTCTTTTGTACATCTAGGTGTCTTGACTATGTAAGCAATGACCCACATCTTTAAGGAAAGGGGCTGAAGAAGCATACGTGTTGATAGCACTTGTACTCAAGCTTGAGGACATTTAGTTACAACCTGACAGCACAAAATATTATCCGAACTTCAGATAGATGTGACTAGTATTGAGAAATAGAGCTTTGCTTAATAATGACTAGTCCTACTTTGGGAAGTTTTTATTAGATTTAATATTCTTTCACTAGGGCTTTATGGCTGAGCCCAGTACTTGTATAACCGATTTAATGAACTTTTAACTAACTTTTAGTCACATGTTTTTGTGACATGGGCCGTTTTTCATCATAGAATAAGTCTTAAATAATTTTATTGATAGTTAAATGTATGAGAACATTGAATCATTTATTCTTCTAAATATCGAAAGATAAATGTTTCTAAAGAAAGTTAGAAACATGAATTTTTATTTGATTTGGTATTTGGCTATTCATGACAACATTTTTCTGTGTATCCCTAGCTGTCCTGGAAATAGCTCTTTTAGACCAGGCTGACGTCAAACTCACAGAGTTCCACCTCCCTATGCCTCTGGAATGCTGGAGTGCTGGAATTAAAGGCATGTTCCACCCCTGCCAAGCAAAAACTTGAATTGTTACTGAGACTCAGATGATCCACTGACTTCCAGAGTGCATAAAAGATGAAGGACCTCAAAAACAGATATAGAGAAATGGAACACACATTTATGTATTTGGGGCTGTACCAAAAAAGAATGTTTTTGAATGAAATCAAAATAAAAGAAACAGTGAATTTTAGAGATTTCATCTAGATTTGCCCGGGTCATTTGAAATGTTATTTTTTTTACTCAGAAGATGACCCAGTCCAGTAATCTTTTCAGGTAATATCTGAAAGAAGACTCCTCAGATCAAGATCTCTTCAACATATATTATTCAAAAGTCATACTTTGAAGGTATGTCTATTCATAACTTTCTATTACTGTGGTAAAATATAACAAATAGTTTATTAAACAAATCAAACATTTAATTGGGCTTATGGGGGAGTGGTAGAGTTAATGATGGCAAAGTAAAAGCCTGGCAGCAGGAACATCTGGGAGGACATACCGTAATTTACAAACGGGAGAGAGATAGCACATTGGAAATGCTAAGAATCTTTTGACACTCCAAAGGTTATTCTACGTGTCAAACATCCTTCAACAAAGCCAATCCTACTCCTTTCTCAACAATTTCACCATCTGGGAAACAAATATTGATACTTATGCACCTGTTGGTGCCAGATTCTCTTTCAAACTATACATTATATTCCTTGTCCCTCAGATAGGCCAATAGACTTATCACAGTACAAAATGTATTTAGACCAACTTAAAAAGTCCCCATACTATTTCACAGTCTCAACACTGTTTTAAATCCCCAAATCTCTTCTGAGACATGAAGTAATCTTTTCCGTACAACACTCTGTAACATCAAAATGAAAATTACATGTGTTTAACATTTAATATCATAGAATATGCAGTACCATTTTAAAAAAACAAGACCAAAACCCATAAGGGAAAACTCCAAATCCTTTTGCTCCATATCTGGTTTCAGAGGTTTTAGGTATCTCTAGACCTCCAGTGTCCAGGATGCAACATGTATGTTTTTCAAGCTGGTTACATTCTCTACATCAACTCTACAATGCAGATATCCCACAGTTCTGTCATGTGCAACGCTTTGGGATTTTGACACTAAGTCAACCCCACTTTTACAGCTTTGTGCAATTGTTTCTCATGGCCTCTTTTCCTCTCATGGCCCTTGTATAGGGACTTCCCAACCACATATTGCCTGGACTCATTGGCTCTTCTTAATCAGGTAGAAAGATCATGAAACTTCTTTAATTCTTTATCCCTTATGACTCTAAAGTAAGAATCACATAGAACATACTTCCACTTTTTGACGCCCTCTTGGGATGGAATCTGACCCTCTTAATTTCATTTGCATCAACTTTCATTTGTGGTTCCTTTTCAGGATGACAAACGGGAAGTTTAGCTGGCTGATGTCTATCTTAAGGACACACGTTACTTTTATTCCATTTTGGATGATTCCACTCCTTGATAACCTTATCCCTTTCAGCACAAACATTG